GCTGCTCACCACCACCAAATGAGCTGATCATTATCCTCCCCACTACACTTGGCACCATTTCATTCGTCCAGTTCATCATCTCTCTCTCTCTATATATATATAAGCCGTTGGATCCTTTCTCTCTACTTGTTCTTCCTCTAATATCCATAACAATCATAAGGATAAAATGAATTTGATGCAGAAGAAGCCATAGATAAAATGATGGAGTCGTCGTGTGTTCCACCGGGGTTTCGGTTTCATCCGACCGACGAGGAGCTCGTCGGTTACTATCTCCGGAAGAAGGTAGCTTCCCAAAAGATTGATCTTGATGTCATCAAAGATATAGATCTCTACAGGATCGAGCCATGGGATCTTCAAGGTAATAAATAAAAATTAAATTAAAACTTAAAGCTCAATTCTTTTTATACTAGGGTTTGTCTGTCGTTAAAAGTTTATAATATAAGTGTCGGCTCGTCTCGTCTCATTGTCAAGTGGTTTTGAGATGAAATCCATGAATATTCATATCTCTTTCTTAATTATGTGAGTAGAGAAATGTTGGATCGGTTACGAGGAGCAAAACGAGTGGTACTTCTTTAGCCATAAGGACAAGAAATACCCGACCGGGACAAGGACGAATAGGGCAACGTTGGCCGGGTTCTGGAAGGCGACAGGAAGAGACAAAGCGGTTTATGACAAGAATAAGCTCATTGGAATGAGAAAAACACTCGTGTTCTACCGTGGGCGAGCCCCTAATGGCCAAAAAACTGATTGGATCATGCATGAGTACAGATTAGAATCCGATGAGAATGGCCCTCCTCAGGCAAGTTTCATCTTTCTACTAATTACATTTTACTATAATTTTCTTTTTCAATAATGAGATATAATATTATTCACAATAGTGAAAAAAGAAAGTTGTGTTTCTTCATCAATATTCTTCAATCATGCATGCTAAGTGTAGACTTCTTAAAAGAGTGATTCCCTCTCTCTCTTTTTTTCTTTTTGTAATATGTGTAATTTTGAGTAGTAAAAGAAATTATCTTTTTGCACATCATTTAACTTTATACAGACAATATGATCAATATATGTCAATTTAATCTCATGAGTTGATGATCTTCGTGAACATGAAGAACTTATGACTTTTACTGCTCAAAAATGAATAGAAAAAATGACGAAAAACAAAAAAGATGAAATGGGACAACTTTTGCTTTTCCATAATTAGTCCACTAAATGTACAGTTTTAAGAGGAGACTGTTTCCAATGAAGATGACCCCCACCAAAACTATAAGTCAAAAGCTAATACTTACAAATACTTTTTTTTTTTTTGAGTTGAATTAATTTATATGGTTTCAATATCCTCATTAATCACTCCTGTTTGTCTCAATTAAAAGAAAAAAATGACAATTTCTCCTTCATTCCCTTTTCCCCCTGTTTATGATAATCTTTGACTTTTTCCTTCTTTCATCACTTTACCAGACACCCAAAAAGAGAGCCTCACCAAAAGTTCATATCACAAAGTCTAAACCCTATCACTTTTACTTTACCCTTCCAATCTTTCTTCTAATGAGGGTTTTTTAGCATATTTTAATTTGTTGATAGTTTCTACAGGAGGAAGGATGGGTGGTGTGTAGGGCATTCAAGAAGCGAACCACCACCGGGCAGTCGAAGACTGCAGTTGAACGGTGGGATTCGAGCTATTTCTACGACGAACCGAGCGGAGTCTGCTCAACCGCGATCGATCCGCTAGAGTTCATCACAAGGCAGCCACCGCCGCTGCAGCCGCAGGGGTTGTTAGAGCATAACAATATCATGTGTAAGCAAGAGATGGAAGCTGAGAATGTGAAGTTTATGCAGTTATACAATTCTGATCCATTTGTACAGCTTCCACAGCTTGAGAGCCCCACTCTTCCATTGGTGAAGAGATCGAGTTCCATATCCTTGCTTTCAGAAAGCAATGAAGAAGACGATCAGCCAACCAAAATTAGGGTAAATAATAACAATAGAAACCCTAAGGTGACAGATTGGAGGGCTTTGGACAAGTTTGTGGCTTCTCAATTGAGTCAAGAAGATGCATTTGAAGGAGAAGGAGATTCAAGCTTTGGAGCACAAAACAATAATAGTAATAGTATTATTATTAATAACAATCATAATTCAGAAGATATGGCCATACTGTTGATGCAGAATAATAGAGGGGATGATGAAGAGAGCGGTGGTCTCTATAAAGGGTTTTTAAGTTCAAACTCGGAGTCTGATTTTGGAATTTGCATATTTGAGAAATGAAGAGAGATGGAGATCATATCAGTGATTATTTGTTTGGGAGAGGTCTTATTGGGATAATATTTTAATATATGTGTTATTATGAGGGTTATTATGGATCTTGGGATCATATCTCTATAATGTATTCTTGTAAGATATGGTTGTGAAATGAGTGAAAAAGAAAAACTCTCTTTTCTAGCTATTTCTACTCAGAAAATAAGCAAATAATTAATAGTTTTTTCTTATATCCATGAGTTTCGAAATTAATTCTTAAGTGAGTGGTCATCGTAAAATTTGAACTCATTTCCTCTAAATTCTATTTTAATTTACTTTAACTTTTTTGGATCAATGAGTTTATAATAGTTATTGACATATTTCTTAAAAATGGGTCATTTTTCCATTAAGTTTTAAGTCTGGTACCAAGGAAATATAAAAGGCATGTTATCTCCCGTACAATCATAGAAGATGAAAATAGTAACTATGCACTAAAAACTTAAAAGTAGAGTGAATTTTATTCATGTTTTGGGTTGGTGCATTTTTATTGGACTATTAAAATTTTAAAAACCCCGTAGAATATAACATAAGCTAATACTTAACAGCATAATTTTATTTAAATTATTATTTAAGACCAATAAACACTACAATAACCTATTATTTCAGTGCCAATTCGAACCTGACTAAATAAACTATTACCTTACCTAGAGAATCATTCTACATCTGCAATGGCATTAAACTAAAAAAATTTCCGTTAACTAATTCAAAGGGTAAAACACATCTAATAATTAAGGTTATTTCATTTTTCTTTTATACTAAAGTATGTCTACTAACTTTTTGAGAATCGGCTGACCTTGCTAAATAAATAGAAGATCACAGATATATATATCCATTAGTATAAGATACAATCTTTTGGATAAACCAAATGTAAAGTCATGAGGTTTTAGTCCAAAACATGGTTCTCAACATCAAAGTTAAGGAGCTACACGCGAAAACCTTTATTTTCATTCTCCATCTTTCCTTCATAGTTAAAAACACATGTGAATGAATGATGATCATTAGCAAGCTGGTAGCCCATTCTGATCTCTGTCTGCAAACTAACTAAACTTTTTCATTGGACTTCTCATACCATTCTCTCTCTCTCTCTCTCTCTCGGAAAAGGCCATGCATTTTTCTGTTGGAAGGAGGCAAAAGGCTATAACTTTAAAGGGTGAATGGCGTAGATGATTGAAATGGATCGACCTTAATCAACATCTCTCCTCTCGGCGGTGTGTGTTTTGGTGGGCCAATTGGTTGTCTAGCGTGCTCTTTGCCTTATACAACCGTATCCCTTTCAAAACCATGCCTCCCTCCCCTTTTTCTCTCTTCTCTTTTTCCCTTCACCCAACTTTTGATTTACATTTTACACCTCAATTCCCCAACCCCAATTCAAACCCATTACCCAATTCCCTTCCAATATAACTTTCATTTCATTCAGTCGAAATTTCCAAAATTTGATGTCATATAATGGCATGTTAGAGATAGATAGAGAGTTGTTGCAGGGTGTGCATGGTTGTGTGTCTGAAAAAGAAACAGAAAACAGAAAAACAAAGACAACTTTTATTGTTACGATCGAGAAGTTAGCTTTCAGGGCTGCAGTTTGTGTCGGAGGGCGGTTTGTGAATGGACAAAAACGCATGTCTTACGTTGTCTTTTTTCCCCAATATTTATTATTATTATTATTCTCTAGTGGGCTGAATGGTCCCCTAATTGCCTAATTTCTCTCTTACCTTCTTCCCCTCTCCTTTTTCGATCACATCTACAAAAGGACAAACAATGTCTCTGCCCCTCTTTTAGCTTTTTCTTTCAAACATTCTTTTTCTTTTCTTTGCTCTTCCAATTTTTGCTCCTTTTTTTGGTCAACACACATAAAACATTCTCTCCTAATTCACATCAAATATCGTCGAATTTTATGCATGTCTTTTCCTACCTTTAAACTTTCTTCTTTAAAGATGAGAAGGGTCCAGTTACACCAAATTAAACTTGGTTAATTTAAGAAGGCTAGATATACTAAATTATCTCTGATTCCCAATTTTATTATTTCATTTTTAGATTCTCAATTTTACTATTAATGTAACGTTGGAACGTCCAGTTAAAATATATATATATGTTTGAAATTTGTTAACAAAAATTTAGATGTATCATTAAATTATTGTTTTATTAACATATTTGGACAAGTAGGCATGTCACCAGGAAGAAATGAATTTTGTTGATCCACGTTCAAATTTTGTTGATTGGTAAGTTGGATTTTATGTGTCAATGAGTAGCATTCAAGTGACATATCTAAGTGCACAAGTATATTATTAAATAAAATAATAATTCAGTAATCCACCAACTTCTCGTTAAATGTTAACATTTTTTTACAAAATTTTTTAATGCTGTGACTATATTATATATATCTTTTACCATTCAAAACTAGAAGAAAAGTACATATGTGAAGATAGAAAAATTCGAAGTTAGAATATGAAACGCGTATATGTATCGTTTGATCAAACAGAGAACAATGAGTGCACGTTAACCAAAAAAAGAACGCTCTACATTGTGCAACAATTGTATTAGGTCTTGGTTTAGGTCCTATGTATAATAGCTTTCAGTACATTCTTGGGGTTAGGAGAGAGATGATTGTGAAAGGGCAAACAAAAAGAATGGTCTCTCGTAGAAAGTTGGTGAGCTCTGTATATGTATATGAAACAGGTGGAGTTGGGGGAGTGACTGAAAATTAAAAGTGGAAGAGAAACAAGAAAACAGAAAGAAGAAAAGAAGCAATGAGTGTAAAAGTTGACAAAAACGAGAGCTTTAGGACTTAGGAGTGTGTGCTTGGAGGACAATGATAATTCCTTGGTGGCACGCAGCCACTTCCTCTTTAACTTGTAACCTTTTCAATTTTCATGCAACGAATTGGTTGAAGCCTTCTCCTTTCTTATTACTACATCAAAAATATTTCAAACATTTTTCTTTCTTTTTCTTCTTTTTTTTTTTGTTGGAAGATACCCACCCGTCATTGAGAAGTATGCGAGAATCATACAAAAGAGAAACCATACGAAAGCTTCCCGTTAAAAGAAAATGTGGGTACATTGTATTTAAAAAAAATATTTGATTTGAAAGATAAAACGAAGCTGCAACTTTGATATCCTCCGACCAATATTATTCTCAAAAGTATATATATTGCTCTCCCCCGCTTCACGTAATAAATACACTTAATTACAAAATAAATTACACAACCAAGCAAAAGTTTCTATATGACCATGAATAGCGGAGCAAAGATGGAAGGAGAGGGCAATTGTCTCCTCTCTTTAATTTGTCATATTTTGCATAAAGTTAATTAGCACGCAAAATTTTGCTCCAGATTACATACATTTTGCCAAAACGAGCATAGCTCAACGGTAATTGACATATATTATTAAAAAATAAAATACTCTTTATTCCCAGTTTTCATTATAAAGTACTGAAATGAAAATAAATATATTAAATATGAAGTGTTAAAAATCCAACGTTCAAAAATAAAAAGCCTGAGCTACTTCTTTATTTGGTTAAATTTTATTTATATAGTTGGTTTCAGTTTTGTTCCTCTGACTATGTTTTTAAACTGTTTTTAAAAAGTTTAAGATAAAATTGAAACTTAAAACTTTAAAATTAAAATTGATGAACCTATCTTATTTACTTAAAATTGTTGGTTGAGGTAAATAGAATTATAACAAATCTTGGCTAGCTTCGTAACTATATATTTTTTAATCTATTTATTTATATTACATTTGATAAATTTGTAGATTCCATATACAAATATATTTGAAGGAATAAAATGGAGAAAAAAAATGTTCCGAAGGAATTAATTAGAGAATATATGCTCCCTTGACCTACCTAAAATGTGTTAATGGGTTGGGTTCATCTACAATTTAGACTATACTAAAATTTAAATTTTTAATTTGTAAATTGATTTAATTAAGATTTATTTAAACCCAAATCCAACCCGAACTATTGGATTGGTTTGAGTCATTTATCTCCTAAAATTGTATAAATATGGAAACTAGTAGTTCAATAATATATTTTTATTTATGAAAAAACAATACTATAATTATATTTATAATGTACTTTTATAAAGGTGATTAAAACTTTTGAATTAAAAATAGAGCTTGTCTATTAGAAAAGGTTAAATTTTCCCAAATTTGTCTAGAATTACAAGGGGATGTTTTTTTAAAAAAAAATTATAAAGAAAATAGATTAGTACATAAACACTATGTTTGAGAGAAAAAAATCAAACATAAAATCCTTATTAAATGGGCCAACTAATTTTGAGGCCCAATAAGATTGCCGTCATCCAATCCAAATAAGAGTGGACCGGCCTTCACTACAAATTGTACAACAATCCTCTCCTCGACATTAAGCTATTTATAATGCCAATTACCCATTAAAACCCTATTAAAACTAATGGGAAAAAAGAACTATTTCTTTATTTTTTTTCCCTTTATTATTCTTTTACAATAAATAATTATTTCTTCAACTGGGACACCTAAATAATAGGGGTGTAACAGACCGAATCGAACCGAAAAAGCGACCCGAATCGAAAATTTTCAATTCAGTTCGTTCGGATTTTATTTAACCTAAAAAATTAAGTGTGTCTCACTACCTCTTGATCAATTCCTCACCCTCAACCCCCCTAAGGCTGTAACCCACCCCCTTCTCTCTCTGTGAAAACTGAAAAGTGTGACGGCAACCATTCCCACTCTATAAGGAGAATAATGTTTCAATCACTTAACCCTACATTTAAAATTAGGGGAGGAGCAATCAAAAAAGTACCTGAACTTACCATAAATCAAACAAGTTTAATGCGTTATTTAGAATGAGGCAAATAAACAAAATTCTAAAACTAGTTCTACGAACCTTTTGATCAAGGTTTTTTAATTGATTCTTTTTCCTATTGGTTGGTATTGCTAAGATTATTGTTAAAAAACTTAATTGTTATTTTTAATTAAATTTTATTTATACTTTAAGGTTTACATAAGATTATTGCTAAATTGTGTTTAATTAGACATGTATCTAACGAATTAATAAATTAAATAATAAAGTTTACTTAAAAGTATAGGGATAAGGCATTATAATCTCGACCAAAAAATTCGAGAATCGAATTCTCACCATACATATTGTTCAACTAAATAAACTGGTTAATAAAATATTTAAATTACATTGACTCACCTTAAAAGTATTACTATAATGCCAAAGTGAGTTAATGAGCATATACCTCCAACCAAAAGATTGTAAGTTCGAATTCTCTCCTCAACATGTTGTACTTAGAAAATAAACAAATAAAAATATTACTATAATATTATGACAATTAAGAAAGCTAGTTAGTCAATCTAAACATAGCTTCTGGTTGAGGCATATACTTCTAACCAACTTGACAACAAAAAAAAACAAATCAAGAAATTAATGACAACAAAAAAAAAACAAATCAAGAAATTAATGAAGTAAATTCAATTCATAATTACTTACTAACATCATAATTTTGTAATCTATTTTTAAGAATATATTAGAAATCGAAAAATTCAATAAATAAATTTATAAAAATATATTTTTCGAAATCATATACCGGTTGCAAACGGGTCTTATATTTTCTCATTAGAAAAAGCCTTTAAGAAATTTGCCTAATTTTTATTTTTGAAAACAAAATCATAGAAATTTTAGGGTACCAAATGAATTTTTTTATTATCATTAGCCAAATTGGCTTTGTAACTGAGCTCATAGTAAGTTGTTTTAATACTAATGCAGTATCTCTTTTTCTCGAGAAGAAGAGGGGGAAAAAACTATTTTTAAAGATTTATTAGAATTTGGAAATAAATTTTTGAGTTAAACTTAACACCGTCATGTTTGAATTTTTATTTATAAATCATGACCAAAAAATTATTCTATTCTTTTATAAATCGAGTATAAAGAAAATCACAAATGAGAGAATAAAATGAACGAACGAGGCGTGGACAGACCGGATCGAATTGAATGACGTATGCAGATGTAAATCCTTGGTTTCCTATTGGTTTTCTCTTCCAATTGAGAAACAGAGCCATGTGTCTCGAATTGGAAGGCTGAAGAAATCGTCGTTTGTAGATCATTTGAAAATTTCTTAATNACAAACACAGATCAAACACAGCTTCTGATCCATTTCTACGTTCATGCCGCGGATTTCTTGGCCCTCTTTGCGGCAGGGGACCTTATCGATTTTGGCTGTTTAGGCTTCGCCGGAGTAGATTTCTTCGGTTTCTTCGCAACCACCTTCTTCGCCGCCGCCGCCTCCTCCTTCTTGGCGGCCCTCCTCGTTCTCGTGCTTCTTGCTGGTCTAGGTTTCTTCTCTGCCTTCGCTTTCACGACCTTTGATGCGTTCTTGTCTTTCTTCCCTGCTTCGGATAGCTTATACGAGGCCTTGATCTTCGCTAATTTTCCTCTGGCAGTAGAATTCTTCAATTGAAGAGCCAAGATTTTCCTGAAATTCGCCGGGAGAACCGCCTTGTGTTTTTCCTCCATGTATTTGGCTATGGCGTACGGACTCGAGCCATTCTTCTCGTTGAGAGACGAGATTGCTTCCTTGATCATCTGCGCAATTCATCTCGAATTCGATCAAAGATTAACACAGTCAAATCAAACTCGTTACATTGAAATCAATTGACTAAAAATACCTGAAAATACGGCGGATGTGAAGCGGCTTTCGGCTGCCTAGGCTTCTTCTCCCTCGGAGTCCTAGGCTTCCTCTCCTTAACCGGCTTCTCCGCCTCCGCCGGCTTCTCTGCAGCCGGAGCCTCCGCCGGAGGCACATCCGCCACCGGAACTTCCACGTCTCCTTCTCCGGTCGATGACATGATCAGAATTCACAAACGAAAATCAAATGCTCTCCGAATATGCTCGAGATGAAAAAAACGCTACGCGAGAACTTTATAGCGGAAGAAGAATCTGGAGGTGGAGGGAAATACGAGCAGTGATTGGCCAGTTGGAGTAGACGCGGATAGCCAATTTGTACGAGAATTGATCGTGAACGCACACGTGGAGAAAAATGGATCGTTATTACGAGATCCAAATCTTGAAGTAGACGGTGATTTGGATAAATACAAATAGGAGCTATGTTTTTCTTCCAATTTCTTGCACAGAAAATGAAGACACCTTGTGTTTTCTCTGTTAATTTTGAACTGCAATTTGCTCACAATTGGTTTGATTAATTGGTTGCCATTTTCAGGAGATTGAAGAAGAGAATTCGAAGATTCAAATGAAGTGGCAATGAGAGAAAATAGTTGAGAATTTGAGTTATAAGAGGGAATTGAATTGTAACAGTTTTGGAGATTAACATGAGCAAATTTTAGGGTAAACAAATCTTCCTTTCGATTTTTTTTTCTTTTAATAAATGATGAAATTTTGAAACTAAGATGATTAAATAATCATGTTTTTTTTAAGGAATTCCCCACATTTATAATCAACAAAGTTAAAGAAAAATCATAGATATAGATGATTCATATGTTGTTTTATAAACATTCTTTTAGATTTTGAAAATATATGTATTTAATTTCTGTCTGAGGATTCTTTTTGCTATTTTTAATAAATAACCCGAGTTTTATTCTTAAAACCTTTTTTTAATTTTTTTGAAAACATGAGTAAATAATTTAGTTTTATTATTTTTTACTTAAAAAATATAATAAATATCAAAAGATTAATATATATTTATACACACGTGAAAGAACATAATTTTGAATATTTTTATATATTAAGGTAAATTTTTACTTTTTTTAATTTAAATTTTTAGACAACAAAATATCAAAAAGGTATTTAACTCTTTTTCTTTTGGTGTTTTAAATATAAAAATAATAAACATTAAAAAAAAATAAAAAAGCAAGAATGGTATTATGTGGGCTCCAAGACTAAGAATTCAATTATTGATGCTTTAGACTGTGGTTGGCATTTTAATATAGAAAAATTGAAATATTATATTTTGATGGGAGAAGTTTGAAACAATGGAAATAAATTTAAGTTTTTTTTTAATCTTATTTGGAATGAGAAAATTAAAAATAAATGCAATATTTTTTTTGTACTTGAAAGGAAAATAAAATAAAAGTTTTATAAACTTTGCCATCTAATCGTAATTTCTAGATTATCAAAATGGAATATGACATAATTAAATCTGTAACAGATTTAAAAATCAGGTAAATCTTACAAATTTGATTTTTAGACAATAATGGTATAAAGTAGAGAGACTATTTACCGGTTAAATCGATTAAATTGTTTTTTAATATTCAGCACACAAAAAAAGATAAAAAAATAAAAATAATATATTTTACCATATCGTGGCTTTCCACTAGCAACTCCCTAGGATTATGAGAGTTGGACAGAATTGAAAAGAGTTGAAATGAGCCATAATTAATTAGATAGAGACGATTGAGATTGAAAGACCTTATGTTACAATTAGGAAGATAGTACCGCTAATAAATTGGGCTGGATTGGATTGGATTGGACTTTAATTTAATTTTAAATAAATTAAGATGAAGTTGGATGGAATGTATGTTCGGTTTTTAATAAAAAAAAAATTAGGTTAGGTCGGATTTTAATAGTTGGATAAGTGTTTGATTATATTCACTTTATATAATTAACTTGACTGATGTCTAAAAGTAAATTAAATTGCTCCAAAATCAAACCACTGATGGAACCGCTTTTAATTCCTTATAGGTAATAGTTCACCTGCCAACCACAATCTACAAGTTTCAAAATCCATTTTGAAAATAGGAAATCACATGCTTTTAAAATTAAATTTTTTTTTTTTGGAAAATTTGAAAATTTAAATTCTACTAGAGATATTACTATTATATTTTTATTTTATCGTTAATTTGCTAGTTTTTAACTCTTGAAATTATCTATAACTTTTAACCATAATACATGTATTACTCATAAAATACTATTAAAACTAACTAAATTTGGGAGATTTTGTAAAAATATATATATATTTGATAAATTAGCAATATCATTTAGAAAAAGATACTATAATAAAATTAAGTTATTAAGATTTAATAAATATCATTTTTAATCCAAAAAATATAGTTGCGAACTTAACATAACTCAAATATAGGTTTCTGATTAAAAAGCGATGGATGTTGAATTTAAAAACTAATATGTTTATTTTATAAAATAACAAATAAATTATAAACTATTTTTATTTTAAAAAATCAAATTTAACATTGTATATTATTTTCAAAAAAAAGTATTTTACAATCTTGAAATTCAAAATTATTTGATCCATTATAATCTTGAAATTTGAAGTGATATCTCAACAGCATATAAAAACATTTAAAAAAAATAGAAAGAGAAACTCACTTAAATAGTAAATTTGTATTTTGTTGAAAAAATCGAAGCCCTAAAGAAGGTCCCTACACCTTCCATAAAGGAATCACATGAGTCGGTTCTAGGGCATTTTCCTATACCTCAGCTTCTCATCTTCTTCTTCCATTTTCCTTGTCATCTCCTTCTCTCCCATTCTATCTTCTTCCATTTTCCTCGTTTGAATCTTTAAGTTTCTGATCAGAAACTTTCATAATTGGATCCACCTCAAGATTAAGGTTTCTCAGATAATACAAATCATTCATTTGTAAGTAGATTATCCCCTTGGCAATCGATCGGTCGTTTCGCTATATGCTTTAATCTGAAACTTTAGTTGTAGTTTGAAGATAAATTTTGAGGTAAGAGCGTCTTTGATCTGAGATTTAGAGATGAAGCGGTCGAGGAAATCGAGAGGTGTTTCGTGGGCTCATGGAGTTAATCTTTGTCAGGTATAATCGTGATATCTTCTAATCGGAGTTTCGTTTTCTTATAAAATCATTAAGATCTATATACCTTATGGTCTTTTACTCAATAGATAGAATCTAGTAATCTACCCCTTTTCTCATTGTTCGAGACAAATAAGAAAATTAGAACAAAAATAAATGAGCTTTTTTTTTTCTTTTTCTGTTGATTTGCTGAATAAATGTCAAATTTAACGTTTTTCTCACAGATGAATTTGACAATATTAATCTAGACGAATAGAATTACTGGGCATTGGGACAATGTTTTTCAAGTATTGCTAATGAATTCGCCATCTTGAGAACCAAAAAAAAAAAAAATACTAATAAATATCGCTGGGTGGATCAGGTGAAGTCATTAAGATTGTGAATAAATGCACTTAATCTTCCTGTGCACCCAAAATCTGGGCTAAATGGTAAACACAATTGCATCATCTTACGAAATTAAACTAACCGCAGTCCATTTGAACGATCTGAGAGACGTTCTTAAATGTCAAGAAGAAAATTTAAGTAAAATATGGTCTGATTAAGAACGACGAAATACAACATGATTCAGAAATCAGAACAAAGTTACAAGAACAACACCGCTCTGATTTGTAACCTAAGCTTGAACGACTAAGTATGAACAGATTGGTTCCTGTACTTTATTCCAAGTATTTCCTTGTGAGCCACTAATCGGGAGGGAGAAAAAAGGATGAATTAAAACAAAAAAACAACAACAATAACAACAAAATATTTGCGAAGTAGAAATCATATTATTCAACAGTCAACTCTTATAAAGTGATATCTGTCACGGAAGAATTGAAGTTTCTTTCTTCGAACAAAAATTCTAAACCAACCATATATAAGAACTGAAGTTCCATCGCCCCTTAGACTATACATTTTTTGAGTAATTGTTGTTTCTTTCATAGATTACTGGAGGTAAAAAACCAACCCTTTTCATTCTTCTGTTATTGAGACCATATGATTTGAGATTATAGCATAGAGCTGTACAAAAAACATTAATAACTGGAAAAAAAAACAGAGCAACTGAATCCAAACTGGGTTTCAAACCAGGCTGGGTTGTGTAAGCATCTTTCTGAACTTGAGTGGGTCAAGCATGGGGTGATTTGATGTGTCTCTTCTAAACTGGACACTCAATTAAGTCAAGCATGCAGGATGTCTATTCTAGTTGCATTTTTTTTAACTCTCACATCAGAAACTGCTCTCTCAATGTCTGGTGGAGTAACTCGATGTTGATATGTTCATTCCAAATACTACCATGTTTTAAAGATTGTTATTCTGTAATTGTCTCTATCTTCATTCTCCCCAAACTGTACTGGCTTCTCCCACTTTATTGCAAACTGTACTGGCTTCTCCTCAGATGCCACTTGATTGAATGCCTATTTTCTACGTTGTATATATTCTTGCAAGTATGCCTTGGCAATGAAGGGGGCAACTCATAAGACATTGGTTGATCATTAAATTGGTTTGAACATTGATATGTTCTTAAACTTTTGGAACTTGAAATGTTATACTATGTTATAACTTATGATGGGATGTTGCAGAGTGACTCGACTAATAAATATTTGATAGTTTAATGGTTTTCCCTGTTCTTCCGGCTATGTAACTCATGCAAATTTATGTACCATGATGTCCAAAATTAAGGTGAATGGTTATGTTTTTAAATAGGTGAAGTTATTCTCGTCAGAGGACTGCCCTTCGAAAGTTGGCTTGAAATCTCCAGATCATCTCCAAGCTAAAACTCCCTGGATGTTGCATCCTTTAACTTCCGAATTTAACGACTGTCCCCCTGGATTTGAGGTCACTCAGTCAGGAAACCAATTAGCAGATCTGTCCTGCATCTCTTCGATTAAGTGGAAGTGTCCTCCCAAGGTTAGCCCTATTAGATATTTCTGTTCTTCTCAATCTTTTTGCGTCCAATATGTCAAATTGCAATACCGTTTCTCTTTGTACAGTTTGTTATGAATTGCAACTGGTGTGTGGCAGCAGGAGAGGAAAGTAAAGAGGTAGAATCTCAGAAATTGAGGGAAATGAGATTTCTTGAAGCAGTTTATCCCCGAGCTTCTGCTATTCCACCAGGGTAATTTCATCATACCCTTGTTTTCTGAGATCAATTTGGAAGCTTGTTATTGTGTTAACATCAACCTTATTCAAGATAAACTTTCCGATCACTTTCTTTTGCTGTATAGTGCGACAGTTTCTGTTGACATTGAGGATGAGCTTTACGATGATGGCCTCACTCCTCTTGTCCCTGTCATTCCCATTGAAGAAGATGAGTGTGAAGATACAGAGTCAGATTCAGCTGCTGTAGGAAACTTCTCTACAAGCTCTCTGCCGATGATGGCTTCCAATGTTAGGTTGGATTCTGCAATCCCAAAAAGTGCCACGGAAACATCTGCTGTTGAAAAACCTATCGAAAATTTACCCGATGTTGGTGTAGATGTCGCTGCTGCCGCCTCTACTGCAATGGCGGTATTGATGAAAAGCACGGAGCAGGGAAGCATGATCGACACCAATTTGCTCATTAAAATTTTCAGTGACCCGAAAATGATACAGAATTTGACAAATATTCTCCCTCTATCCGAATCTGAGTCTGGGAGTCCACCCATTGCCACTGCTGCATCAGTACCCGCAACGAAGCCAGTTAGCGAATCAGTTTCTTTGTCTCTGCCAAAATTCGATACGATACCGAAACTCCCAAATGGAAGCTTGCCAAAAGTGTTGAATGGATTCCCATCTATGGTAACCCCTGCTCTTCCTCAGATGAGTACCTTCCCTGCATCTGATGTGAAGCCAGCCTCAGTCCCAGGCCACTTGCCAGCACTAGATCTCAACAAGGTAAATATTACCATACCAAATGGCGGGAACTATTCTAAAATCGGTACAGTTCCCGCCCCGGTAAGTTCGGTAAGAAAAGAAGCACAGCAATGGAAGGATCTTAACTACTATAAGAACCTAGTAAGACAACATGGAGATCAGAGGGACAGTAAGGAACAGAAACTAGGACAAGATGGCAATAATCACAATCATCATAATCTGAATATGGTACATGAGATGAAAGCAGAAAACTTGAAACCCAAGATTCAGAAACAATGCATATATTTTAATGGCCCGAAAGGGTGTCGAAATGGCATAAATTGCCAATTCAAACATGATATCTCACTTAAGAATCAAAACGCTAAGAGAATGAAACTGTGTGGCGAAGTTACAGGTAGGACGTAATCGGGTTAAGCTTCACCATTCAGAAATTTCCTTTTTTTTTTTTTTTGGTGGCTCAGGCAAGGAAAGTATGATCTTTTTGTGAGGCAGGGAAAAAATCTTGTGTTAATTATAAAGGAAATCAGGATGAATTTCAACAAGATTTCCAAGGGAGAATTTTGAATCTGGGATATTCGTTTATTAGTAGTTGGTTGTTTGAGATTAGCAGGGATAAATGGTTCCCTGCATAATCCTGCAGCATGAATGTGAATTCTTAGCATACGATTCTATTTAGTAAATAGAGCATTTTTTTAGGCCTTATGTGATGGAAGCAACAATTTTATTAACTTCATTTTTTTTTAACTATTTTTTTTAATTTTGGAAAATTTTATCAGAAGTTTAAACTAAAGTGCTTTTGAAATGTATTATAAAGTTGTTAGCCAAAAACCTTGAAATATGATATCTATAAAGTAGATTCTTGGGCATCTTCTTTTTCATATCTGGACTACTAAGGAATGTTTTCAAATGTGGGTCAATTAGAGCATCGAAATTGGCTGAGGTTATAAAAGATTCACATTGTCACTCCATATATTGTTCAACTATATATTGTTCAACTATAAAGAATTATAGCTCAATTGGTTAATTTTAACTTCGTGAGTTCAAATTTCCACCCTTACATATTATATTATAAAAATTTTTAAAAGATAGATATATTACAGTCACCTTTATGAATTCACTGTTAACTATTTAAATACCAAACAAATAGTTTATAACTAAACGTTTTAAATATATACGTGGGTCAAATAATTTGACATCATCATGTTTTTATAAAGTTCTAGGTTTCATATGTTTGTAGTGGCATGAGCTATAACACTACTAAAAATTATGTTGTGTTGGTATTGAATCGAGTTGGATTTGTTTTATCCATATTTCAAGTTCATACAATTTAAATAGACAGTTTGGAAGAAATCAAGTTTTAAATAATATTTTAGGTTGACTTCATCAATTATGATTGAGCTCCCTAATTCAAAAACCTCTTTGGCATATACTCGATCAAAAAGTCAGAGGTTCAATCTCAATCCTCACATGTCATTGAACTAAAAATAAATTACAAATTACAAGTAAAATTGTGAGAGTAAGCATGTGGAGGTGAAGTACTACCCTTTGGACACATTTCTGAACTATGCTCGCTTTGACTCCATCGGGCACATCTTAAATTACAAATTTAAAAAACCATTATGGTTTTAATGTTTCAATTTCAACTAATAATCTAAAATAAATATAGACTAAACATACAAGATAGTTTCTAATGTTTGAGGTAATTTTCAATTTGGAACTTATTAAAAATTCTCAATTAGAGCATTGCATTAAAAAAAATGTTAAATTTTATTAACAAAAAATTAATATATCATTAAATAACTATTTTATTAACATAGTACTTGTGATTAATTTTACCATACATCACATTTTTGTTAATAAATTTGGTATATTTAGCAATAAATATATCCACCCACCAAATATAGTATTCAAAGAAAGAAAAGTTAAATCACGCATCCAATCTATTACCTCAATCGCCCTCTTCAGTATTATCATGATTTTTTCATACAAACACAAAAGATTTAGCTTATAGCATAATCTTTTAATCGACTATGGAGCTTGTCGAATCTCCAACGCCTGTTACTCTAGATCAAAAACATGAGATACAGCTCAGTTCCTGAACGTGAGAATGGAGAAATTCAAGGTTTAAAGAATGAAAAAATCCCAATTGGTAATGAGTAATCAATCAATCTACATGAAGGATTTGGGAAAGAATAGAATATTTATAGTTACACAAAATTGAAGCTAGGCAAGGAAATCCAATCAATGACCCAAACAATCTGCTTCTGCAACCTTGCAATGGTCCAGCAGTACAAGAAGCTCAACTGAAGCAACAGAGTTGGTTTGCTATCCAAGCTAGAACTTTGCCACGAAGGTAAACTAACTTATTTTTCCCTCAGAATGGGCCATCCTTTTTTAATAATGTCGTTGATCTTGGCATCAATTTGCTTCTGAATCTTTGGAGGACAGAGGTCTGCGGCATACCCATTCATCTTTGCTGCCAAAGTGGACATCTCGAGCTCCTCTTCTGGCAAGTTTCCCATTAGTTGAAGAAAGAAAGGATTCCTCTTCAGCTCAAATTTCTGCGTGTGTTTGTTAAACATGTATAGTGTGAGCGAGACTTGAAAAATGATGCCAACAACTCCATTTTCAACCATGAAGGTCTGCAGAACCGAGTCGTGGAGAACAAAGTAAAACTATGTTCGCCCAAGGTGGGATATTGTGGATGATTCAATCAAGACATATTCTAATGCCAAGGACCCAAAACTTCTGCTGCACTTTTTCATCTTCAAATGGAAAAAGTGGGGCCGTGGATAGCAATTTATAGAGTAGGAAAGGAGCAGAGACATCTTAACCTTTATCATATTTAAAGTTCAAATGGGAAGAAAAGTGGGCAGCCCATTGGCAAGGACATGCGATCTCTGAATAACACCTACCTAGAGGTCGCATGTTCCAACCTTCGGATGCACTTCAAAATAGAAAGGAAAAAAAAACTTGATGCCTCCCAAGTCCGAGCCTTCGATAGAAGAGCAAATCTTCAAAACGGTAGGGTTATCCAAAAAAGAAAAAAGTGGGGTGGGGTGTAGCAATTTATAAGGCAGGAATAGACCAGCGACATTTATAGGTGAGTTCCATGTGAAGAAGCAGGAAATCCCAAAAGCTGAAGGTTTGCAAGATAGCTTCAAAGGAAATATTAATCGATGATACTAACCTGATGTTCAGCCTCTGCAGGATAAAATGCTCCAAGTTCCTGAATTTGTGTAGTCACAGCACTTCCTCTTGACTTCAGTTGCTCTTTTTCTTTGCTGACAGCAGCCAGTCTAGATTCTTCAGTGTCATTAGTAAAAATGATAGATCTGACACAAAAGAATACACAACACCATTATCAAAGGTTCATTTATGTTTAAATCATGAGCTAGAATTTACAACATACCTATACTGGTTGCCCACATCAGGACCTTGCCCAAACACTTGCCTAGAATCGTGACTGGACCAAAAAACCTCTAAAAGTTTCCTAAAACTGGTAACCTTGGGATCATATTCAACCTGCAAATAATTACAAAGCATGCAATAAATATTTGAACATCCAAACAGACAAGTAATGTAATGGAACCTACAGTGCAAAATTTTCAAGACTCTAAATAATCATATATCAACAAGTGACTGGAAATTTGTAACTTGAAAGTGGATTATGTCATTGTCTATGAAATTTCACCATATAACTCGCAAGTGGAAATTAGCAACCACATGCCAAAGTTACTTTCTTTAGTAACAAAAAGATAAAATTCTTAAGACCTACTAATGTGCTGTGAGTTTAGAAACTGAGGGAGAGGGTTAATACCAATCGAACAAAAATATTATGCAGTGAGTAATATCCTACAATTACATTTATTCTAGGTGGCTCCAATGGAAACCAAGGCCCTGTACTTTTTCCCCTGAAAAGTTTGAGATCCTTTTACTCCCATCCAACTCCTATCGTTGGAAAAAGAAAATGTAATAAACTATCAATGGACATTATCAATCAGAAATATTGACTGAGAAGCAATGAATGCATGTAGAAAAAGAGAGGAAAGTAATACCATCCTTGAGAACTAAGTACGATGATGAAACCCATCAGATAGATTGCGAGCAAGAATAAATAAGGAAGATAACCAGACAGTCCATAAAAGGATTGACATAGATTTTAGATACCCATAGTATCCAATGAATTGAATTCTTCAACACTTGAATCTATAATATCCACTTTACTAAAAACATTTTGCAACGAACATAAACCACCATGGTTAGCTTACTAGTCGTGCAAGCTACTATGAAACCCGAAGGTTGTGCATTTCTTGTACCTGATTTGGATATAACATCTGAAAGAATTTTAAATGCTGCCATGATTTGTTCACATGGATAAGTTTTCGCCAGACAATCAAGGTACCCAAGAAAAATTACAATGAACACAAAAGGCTAGAGGGAGGCCTCTCCAAATGAATCCATCAATTTCTAGGATTAAGTTAAGGCTTCTTTGATTACAGGAAGCATACAGAACACAGAAGCAATTGAAGGACTAAACTTCCGACCTCACTTGAACAATTTCTTAAATGCATGTACTTCAAGAATGCCTCGTCTGATACATAAAGAGCCGAGACGAATTATTTTGGAGTTATTAATGATTTCTTTTCCACAAAATAAGAGCTTTGACAAATCTTCGACAAAAAGAAAACAGGATTTAATACATTTGCACATCAGAGATCTGTGACAAGCAAATCCGACAGAAGCCCCCCCAAAAGTGGCACAACACCAAATGCCAAGCAATTTAAACCACATTCATCCCTCGCACAAGGAGAATTTCCAGACAAATAAATCCAATCAAAGAAACAAAACATGATTGAAAAGATAAATCCACCGAAGTAATGACACGCCACAATGTCTTGTCCAATACAAGCAAGCGTATAAACATGGTCTACGGAAGTACACAATTCTAAAACTTCATCCGGAACACAGGACGGCGAAAATTCACAAATTGAAAAGTCAAAATCAAGCAATCAAAAAACGAGAGATGTAAGGAGCAAAGATGGTTATAGGCCGAACCCGAACAGACTCGGCGTGATCCCCCAAGCTACGATACTCGGGGTTCAATTTAGAACCACCAGCGTAGCCAACAGTGGTCCGGAAGACTCCATCCAAGCAACCAAAAACGGCTTCGGATCTCCAGAAACATCCCAGAGAGAAAACTGCCGTCTTCAAGGACTGATGGGTTGACGGATTGGTGCTAGATTCCGCGATTCGATTCGGGATTCTGATGCAGTAAGCTTCCTTGGGCAACAAAAAGATGAGGAAGAAGAGGAGTATGGAAATGCGGAGGCATGTAGTCGTCTGCAAAAGAGCCATTACTGTCTGCAACACATGCGTACAGCTCGAGCAATTGAACCTTCATCTCCGCATTCATGGACTCTAAATTTTAGGGCCAGCTCAAAAGTTGAAGCCCAGGCCCAAAATCAAATTTTGGTTTCCTTTAATTTGTAGAGGTTGGAGATCAAGAAACATTGTTTCAATATTGTTAAGTTTCGATTAGATCATTATTAACTTCTTCAAAAAAAAAAAAAAAGATCATTATTAAACTAATTGTAACCCTATAGATCTTTCATAAATTATTTATAACCCTAGCAATCAACTAAATAGAGTATGACTAAACCATGAGAATCAAATTTGTAAATTAACCTTTTAATTTATTTTAATATTTAGTATAAGAATAAAATAAAATTTCTGAAATAAATAAAGGCAGTTGCATTACCAAACTGTTATTAAACTCGAAAGAAGAAAAAAACAATCTTCGTAAATATCCTCGCACTTCACCTTTTGAGCCCTCAAATTTTGTTTCCTCAATTTAGAGGGCACCCGGTGAAAATGCAACTTTAGTTCAAAGTAAAACAATGCCGAGACTTGACCAGATATCACAACCTAAAATTTGGAAGCAGATTTCGTTTTCCATCTAAATTAGAGGGCCCTCGTTCATATTATAAGATAATGAATACTACAAGAAAAATCCTGAAATTGCCCTAATAAAACCACGAATAATAACTCACTCAGTACAGTAACAAAGACAACCTGATCAACACAATGGGCCAAACAAAATGACTATCAGAGCATCCCATGCAAAAGAAATCTTCCACTCTAACGATGATGTGAAATACAAAAAACAGTATATTTGGACCAAACTCATCACATATGGAAGAAAACAAAACAAAATTTTCAATTGTAATCAACACCTTCTCAAAAGTTGGGAGTAAAATGGAAGTTCTCAAAAACAAGTAATGATCTAAATAAATATAAAACCGTCTAAGCCTTGTCAGCTTTGGCAGCAGTTGCTGCGGCTTGTCCTCTGAGCCTACCAGTTCTCCTGGCGGCAATGAGCCCAACCTTTTGACCAGGAGGTGCATCACGCCTGACAGTGCTGGCATGTCCAATGTGTTGGTGGTTACCTCCTCCGTGAGGATGCTCAACGGGATTCATGGCAACACCACGAACCTTAGGCCAGCAGTTCCTCTTAACTCTAAATTTGTGGTAAGCATTACCAGCCTTAAGAAGGGGCTTCTCAGTCCTACCCCCACCAGCAACCTGACCGACCATAGCACGGCACCCGCTTGGAACTACTTTCTTGGAACCAGATGGAAGCTTGATCCTGATAGTAATTGAAGATGAATATCAGCTTAAACTAAAAAGTGAAAAATGTTGAATCAACACAGCTAGAATCAAGTAACATGCATTATCTCTTCGATCAAAATAAGATGTTACAAAAACAGCTGAGTTCTAAACAAGCAATAAACATCAATTGTCATTCAGATTCCAATTTGCACAATCTCATAAGCAACTAGCACCAAATTGCACAGAAACATATCCTTATCTTTGCTTCTGAAATTCCACCAACTACGTATGGAGAAGCCTAGAGCAGTATTTTAACCAACTCTTTCAATGTGCAATGAGACATTAGCTTATGGCGAGAGCTGAGGCATGGAGATGCACCCTTGCCCGAGCACCTATCTTGCAAGCGCCTAATGCTTTGCTTGCAACTTCATTGCCATAAAAATTAAGTTTAGGGCTACATGGGCGGCCACCATGATGGATAAAGTTTACATTACACGAACTCATGAATATTTGTTTCAAAATTAAAACTTGATTTCATTTATAGGAATTTTTTTCACGTCTCTTATTTCCTCTACCCTGCTCCATTTGTTTACTTCTGATTATAGTCAGCCGTCTATTTCCGTCTCTGAAAATTTATTTTAATTTCCAAATCTCCTCCACGACATCCGACTAGACTATTAGGCACTATTCATCCTTCTCTCTTGATATATTATCCCGTTCATCAGCCCCTTCCTCTATAGGGCTCATCAGAAAATACAGTATGCTCAAAACAAAACCACGAAGGCAATTTTAATTCTCATATAAAATTCGTTCATACAAGTACAAAATTAACTAGTTACTGATTAGCATTAGTACGATTTACAAGGTTGGTGCAACAAATATCATAACTCACTCTAGCGCAAAGGATCATACAAGCACAATAAAATGAATTAGCTTTCTGGAGTAAATCAAAAGAATTAGATAAACACCCAAAAAAATTATCAGAAAACTTTCTTTTCAAGAACTAGGAATCATTAATAACCTGGAAGTATCGTTATCAGGATTGTGACTAATAACAATCGCGTAGTCTCCCGAACATCTTGCAAAAACGCCACGGTCACCAACATGGTGTTCGACGTTGCAGACGACGGCACCTTCAGGGATCGATCTTAGGGGCAAGACATTCCCAACCATGAGATTCGCCTTCTTTCCGCAGTAAACAAACTGGCCAGTGTACATACCCTCAGCCGCAACGAACAGTTCATTCTGTTTCTTGTACCTGAAAGGATGGCGGAAGGTAACTCGAGCAAGCGGCGCTCCACGGCCTGGGTCGTGAACAATCTCAGTGATGACTCCTTTCAGATAACCATTTCGTTCGCCGAAGTCGAGACTTCGGAATCTGGCCGGACCCTTCCGATGATGGGTGTGAGACTTGAAAACGGAGCCCGCTCCCTTACGCTGAGCACGGATGACTCTTCCCATGGCGGCTCCGGGAGATCGGAGATTTTCAGTTTGCTGCCGCGGCGATAATGACAAAAACCTAGGGTTGAGATGAATTTATATGACACCAAATTGAAGCGGGCCGACCCACTCTGGATTCTAATAAATAGGCGAAGCCCAACTGAGTTGGGCCTTTTAAGGCTACCGGCCCATGGTGTTGCTTGCATAATTAGACAGAAGCAAATAAGTTGGACACTTGATTAATGAACTAATTTCAATTATTGGTAAATTATTATAATGTAAACTTATGTTTAAATCTATATTAATATTATTAGTTTACCATAATCACTTTCAATCTTTCTAAATTTTTCCATAGAAATTCACATCTCTAAACTTTAATTTTATATCCCTGTATTAGAGATGACAAAAATCAATACAAAAATCTTCGTGTTCTCACTCCAATAATATACAACATGTCCGGACCTGTTTTCGGTTTCATTTTATAAATAATTAATATATTTTATCAATTATTTTACCAAATTATGAATAAAATATTAAATATTTTTAAAACTAATTATTTATATTAATAAATAATAGATTTTCAACCAAATAAATATGCTTAATACTCTTCTTTATTTTTTAGATTCTAAAAATAATTAAAATTAATTACTAAATCGATAATTACGAAGGTTCATGTACCCAAACAACGATTCCTCAACATGTACCTCAATTTTCGAAATTGGAGAATGATGTAGAGACAAGGACTAATAATTTTTGCGAGGCGAAAATGGGGAGAATATCCCCACCTATTGTAATCTCTATTCTACATATATTTTTCTCTTCCCGCATATCTTTTCAATTGTCTACATTTTTTAAAAATATAAAACCAAACATGAATATCAAACATGTGTTGGTTTTCTATTTTCTTAACACGTGCTTTCTTAAAATAATACTCTAGAAATTCCTTGCTACTAGGTATACGTGGCATTGAGATACAACATGTACCCACATGTTAAAAGAAATTGTACGTTGTCTCCTCAAAAGACGGACACAATAAGATTCATTTTGGTGAATAGACATACATGTCAACTCTAACAACTTTGAGATCTAAATTCAAGCTCCTTTCAAAAGAAAACCTATTAGTCGAAAATTTTTTAAAGCATTATTTTTTTAGTAAGTTTCTCTATCCTATTCGATCTCGATCTCAGATGATGCGGTCAGACGGTTCAAAAGGTGAGCAGTCACCGATTCGGGAATCAACATCATTTTAAAACTATTTGCCATATAAAAAAAAAAGAAAAAGGAAAAAGCCCACAATACAACTTAGGGTAGTGTAATAAAATGAAATCTAGTGAGCTGTCTTCCCTTTCGCGTTTTTTGGCGAGACATTTTAACTTTATCACAAAAAGTAGCAAACTCATCTTTTAAGTTGTATGTTAAAAAATAGTACAAAATTTCTATAAATCTTAAAATATAATTTACTTTTTTTCAAGAAACTCCAACAGACGGTACAATTAGGGCCGAGACGATAGAGGAAGGAGGAGGCTTCTTTGGTTTGTTTTAAATTCAAAAGCAATATATAAATGAGTTAAGATTTTAACGGTTTTCCTTTAATTTTCTCTCTTAATATTTTTAGAATGTAAAATTCATTTACCAAAAAAAGTTAAAATATAATATTGCACCATCCCTTGAAACATAATCATTTTTTATGCAACATTGATAAATTTTTAAGATATCACTTAACTTAACGTGTAATAATATTTTATTTTTTATTTGAAATTAAAGTTTATTAAATATTATTTTGATCTATGTACTCTGCTTTAGTTTATTTCCGTCCCTGCATTTTGAAATGCTCTTTTGGTCCTCATCTTTTTAAATTTTATTCAGTTTAGTCTGTGTACTTTTAAAATATCTATTATGGTCTCTGTATACTCAAAGAATGATCAATTTAATCTCTATTTGCAAAATTTTAACATGGAAATGTAAACTCTTCAATACAAATTTATGACATTCAAAAAATTTAGTGAGTAAAGTGTCATGCTAAAATTATGATGGAAAGAAATGAGATAAAAATGAAAATGGAAGACCAAAATAGTAACTTTCTAAAGGTACAGGGACCAATATAGACATTTCAAAAATACAGTAACTAAAATGAACATAAGATGAAAATGCAGAAACCAAAATAAACATCTTAGAATTACCAAAATAGTATTTAACATAAATATAAAAGTTTGGTTTTTAATGATATATTTAAGGCTCATATGAAACCTGCAATAATCCATCATTAATAGAAGGAGCTGTTCTTTTTGAAAAATAAGAGAAAGCTAGCAAATGTATTTATACACAAATTCTCAATAATTAATAGGTAAAACAGAAATAACAAATACAAATGTTAACTAATCTCTCCAATAACAAAACCCACATGCCTAAAAGAGTGCTTAGTCCTTGGGGCATGCAAATGCAAGTGTCCCAACATGGGTGCCCTACAAACTTGGCCTCACCCAACCCATATGGTCTCCAAACTACTCCCACAAGGAAAACAAAGGCTTGGTCTCAAAGAATGTTGTCCAAAACATACACTAGCTTTATCCATTATGTCATCATCATTTTTCATCCCCTTTAATTTGGTACTTCAAATGTTGTAGCAAAAATTGTGGTCCATCCAATTTCTAAAATATGGATCACAATGGAGTACCCTCTCGGTGTATTAGTGGTCAGATTTGATGTTCTAGAAAGATCTCTCCAAAGTGTATGGGAAGGTTTAACCTTTTGGATCTTCCTTTTATTTTGTTGCTCTTTAAGGTAGGGATTTGGATAAATTTCGTTACGTCTCAAATTCAATTAGAAACCCATTTCATCTCTAAAAGATTTAAGATTTTTAATCGGTTGAGTTTTGTTGTTTAATAAATTTTTTCGTTTTTTTTTCAATTAAACTTTTTTAACTGACCTTCAAAAACAAACAAAAAAAATAACCTCTTAGAAATTACTTTGAAAATAATTTTCCATTAGAAAAGAAGAAATTATGAGCGGGCTTATTTTTTAAAAAATAAAACTAATTAAACAAAATAGTTATTTTTTGTTATCAGAAACAAAAGTAAATAAAATGATTATTCAATGAAATTTTTGATGTTCTCAAATTCCTCATTTTTATCCTAAATTTTAGAGAAATAGTCAAAGTAAGAGTAAATTTCATATATAACTTTATAGCAGTAGATGTGAACGGAAATGTAGTCAAGATTATCTTATCATCATTTTGTTTCTTGACATTTTACCTCATACTATCTCTAGGTACATTTCACATCAACAAACTTTTTCATTTTAAGAAAATACATTTTTTAAAAGAATATAATAACAACCACCAATTTCTCATTGCAAGTCCATATTCATAACTATTTTACTCTTTGTTCAATGTTTTCCAAATATAATTTCATTCAGAAATAATTTTTCATATTTTTTCTTTTTCTTTTATTGCATTTAAATCTTATCCATATTCCAAACTTTAAAAATTAAAAACAAAGAAAAAAAATTAAAAACTTTATATACAAGATTCTAGAGATTAGTTTCGAGATGGACATCCAGTCATTACAATAATGTGGTACTTTGACCACGTATATTCTGAAGCTTAAATTATCACTTAGTTTAAAATGGTATCGTACATAGAAGTTGTATAGGCTTGGGAGTAAAATGTACACGAGTTTTGTATAAAATTTGCAATTTAAAGTCTATACTAAAGTGGGCTTTCACTTCACTCCAATCTTGTATGGTCATCCTCACCTTGTTCAAACTGAAGTCTGAACACGTATTTTTTGACGAGAGGACAACTCTAATCCTACGCCTGATAACAAATTTCGAAGCTTCAAAAAATCTCAAATAAACATAACATAAAGGTAGAAACAGTTATTAAACCTCAAGCAAACATGTCGAAGAAAAACAAAAAATATAACAGAAACAATTATGAGAGCCTGAGATTGAAATCTAATCAATCTTTCATAAGATATGGAAAGAATAAAAGTTGAATGATGAAGAAGAAGAAGAAAACGAAATTGATTTTAATCACAGTGTTGTCATGTGACGAATTTTGTCTCCATCTAATTAATCACCGAAATTAGCTCATAATTTCATCTAATTTTTTCGCTTTCAAACGTAAGCATCGGACATTAAAAAAATAAAATGAATATTACGGACTTAATAAATAAGAGATGACAAAACGACACTTATCCAATAATTAAGGGAAGATAAAAGTCGTCTTGTGCGGCTCTTGATAGATCATACTTAAACTAGCAAAGCACGGAAGGTAGCAATACGCACCGTTTGGTAGAATGATCCACCATGTGTGGACATCCCCTGCCCCACCTGCCCCACTGCCATGTGCATTAATTTGGACTAAGCTTTCTCTTTAAGGATATATATATTTTTTCTGTTTAACCCAAAGTTTAATATCATATCATTAAGAAATTGCACTCTACACTCTGATTCACAGCTCTAAACGTTCAAGATTTCATGATTTGGTGTGGAACTCATTCCTTCTAATTCAGTTGGTATTCTTTGTGTTGCGAGAACTTGGAAGTTTAAATTTGTAAATGACATTACACATAGTTCAACACATTAATTATTTAAGAATAGGTGATATTATACATACGGGGTTGAAGTTAAATATAAAACCTCTTGTTTTGATATTATGAAATTTAAATGGGTAGGTTAAAAGATATATTTAAAGTTAAGTTATAAGTTTGGCATATTGTACTTACTTATGCTTATTTAATCTTTGTAGACATATACCCTTGAATATTTTGAGTTATATCTATTTAATAATGTTATTTTAAAACTTTTCTAATATGTCAGGCTGAATTTTAAATTTTGGGTTAAATGTGAGTGTCATTAATTCGTTTTGTACTTACTTGTCACTCTAATTGTGTATTATTTAAGAATTATGTAGGAAGTTTATGTTGAAGATTACCTTCAAATAATCATCTAACATGTCGGGTAACCATTAACCTAGTGGAGTTAACAACAAGAACAAAGAATGTAGTTCTCAAACGAGCAACGAAAAATAAATCTAGATTATCTTCAATTTTAGATATTATTCTTTCAATGATTCTAGTATCAAGTACTTCTTGGCGAGCTCCGGCATGATCATATTTAAAAAGTAAGCATATCTCTCGTAAAATATGAGAAACATCAAATATGAGCTCAAACCTCTATTTCACTCGCCCGTTATCCACCTTATTTGCCTGTCCTCTAAGGGATTGTTGGATAACAAGTACATAATATCATCGTTATCGTATCATCATCAACCTGATGAATTTATTTCAAGGCATAAGGTTTTCCTACAGTAATGGGTTGTTCAAAATATTTCTCATCCTTCCCCTGAATATTATGTTTTTCCCCAAATACTCAAGTTCAAATAACCATAAACTCGTGGTTTGTTTGTTCCATATCTATTGTCAACTTAAGCAGGCATAACTCAATTGACAAGATACCAAATTCCTTTCTTGATTAAATGTTCAATCCTTCGTCTCCATGTTTGTTGTACAAGAAAAAATATTTCATTTATTAGATACAAAAATTTGAAAGTAGATATGACTGTTGAGGATCAGTCAACTATAGAGACTAAATAAACACAATGGTAAATGGTAAAAAGTTTGATGTCAAACTTATCATTTAACCCATATATGTAATCTTGAGAAATGTTTGGTTTGGTTTTGATTGAATAAATGGTAAGCCTGCAACTTTATCTGTATAACGGCAGATTCATGAAGAAGAACACGATAACACACTAAAGGAAAGAAGCAAATTCCTCGCAAGCCTTTGGCATTTCATCTTGAACCAGTGACCTCCAAGGGAAAAAAAAATGATAAATATATGCTTAGCTTCACAGTTTGGAGAAAACTGCACAACCAAACCTTTACAATATATATAATCAAAGATGATTTTACGTCAATCGTGTTAAAAATGAAAGAAAAAAACTCCAGCAAAGGAGGAGGGCAAATTTGGCTCCTTCCAACTCCTTTATCGAATTAATATCCAAACAACTTTGAGAAAAATCCTCTGTATTTTTTCCTTCTCTGGTCTCATCTGATCTTGATCATGGCTGTTAAGGAGCGAAAAACAACCTCTTCACAAGGGATGGTGAGTCCCATGTCATGGCTGAAACCAAACTCCTCTTCTGCAATCTGCAGCAGGCTCTGGAACTGGGGGTGACCCAACCACGATATCGGGACAATATATCGGCTTCGGTTTTCCCCGACGTAGACAGCAAAGTGGCCCTTCGGGACGTCGTCGGGTAGGCTGTCTTCATTGCAGCCATTTCTCTTGCCAAAACTCGAGCATCTTTTGATAATATGTCTGAAGGAGGCTGATGGCTGAAGTAGATTTGCCCTTTTGATAGCCATTATAGTAGTAAAAGGGAGGGTGTTGTGTGTTTTTGGCTGGTGGGAGGGAGGGAGATAATTGATGATGAGAGAGATTTCAGTTTGAATGGTGGCTTGAAAAAATGGACAGATTAGAGAGGTATTTAAGAGGAAGGAGAAGAAGAATAAGAAGGGTGAGAAACAAAATCATGTGATATGTGGGAGTAAACAGCAGACCACAAGAGTTCTAAGCCAATTGTGTAGGGAGGCGTCGCATATGCCAACCCAAGTGGGCCTTTTAGCTACCCAGTTGCGTCTCTTGAACACACACCGTGGGGCCCTCCCTCCCCTTCACAATTTGCGTCAGCCATGGATGAATTTTCCCACCTGCACTTCAAAAAAATTGGGCAGATGAATTAGATAAAATGGGTGAACTGGAAACCACATCAAGTTCAGGTGGAAAGAGTTAGAACATTGTATATTGACAAAAAAATAAATATATTTCCACTGCCTACCAACTCCAATCTCCTTCCTAGATTTGATTATTCATTCGTATCTTCTGCTTTCCAATTCAAAAATCACTCACATAAGAACAAAATGTAAACAATATAATATGGCCTAGATTTCACGAGAGTATATAGAATTATCTCGAATTATGTACCTAACAATTAATTAAAGGAAATTCAATACCTTTGACCATTAATTAAGACTCTTCCACACGCAAAGGTCAAGACAGAGTGTGTATTCATTAATTTTGGGCACTGAGTTGTACTGTATTTATTGAATTGTATTGTCAGACCACATGATCAGTCTACGCTAGGGCTCTCAACCTGTTCTATATAAGAGAAACATTCCACAGTTATAGATTGTTCATTTCATTCTTTGTATAAATCACCTAAGAATTCAGATTGATTCTTCCAAGAAAAAAAAAATTAACCAAAATATTTACACAAACACATAGAGATCCGAAAAATAGACAGCTGATCAGAAAGCTGGAAGCAAAAGGTTTCGGGGGTGCCAGAACATTTTAACTAAGACGTGCAATAAAATCAAAACTCAAAAGCATATCTCTATATTACATGTTTCCCACATGAGAGCCCGTAAATGTCAGTTTCCCAGTAATATTTTTCGGCAGAAAACAAGAGTTTCACGACTTTCTAATATCTAAGCTACACAAACCCCTCTCACCACATTGAAAGACCAAACCTGAGATTTTGTCTTTTATATTTTGGGGGAAAATGAAACCAGATTGAAAAATTAGGGTAGTTCAGTCATGATTGGACCACCTGTTCAAATCCAAAATTTGAGGCTCTGCATCAACAGAATCCGCACAAGTAGAGGATTGTTTTCCAACTCAGTTGCCGAGTGGTCCAAGTCCAGGACATACGGTTCTACTTTCGGGCACGAAGTAGGATGGATTTGACTTTAGTACCTTATTTCGGTAGTGGACCATGGAGACGAAACTTGTTTCTTTATTCTTAATTCTTCTGCGTACTGGTCTGTCGCTTGGATTACATAAGTTGGTCCTTGAAAGCTCAGCTCAGCCCAAAGCTAGGCCACCCACAATCCACAATTACGTGGCCCTGTAGATGTTGGCACATTTGAACGATTCAAAAACCGTCGCGTTCCTCGACTGTTTATTACCTGTTACCTGTATGTGAAATGAAACATCTATAAATGTTAATAGTAAATAATGCCAAGAGACTGAGAGGATACATATTGAGTAAAGACTGTGTCATATGCTCCCACCCAGTTCCCTTGCATGTCTCCACATCAAAAGACCACCCATGTGGCCATCCAAACGCTAGAAATACACAAGTTCAAGATACTAGAGAGTTGTAATAAAAAGTGAATTATCTTTTATGAATGAGCACCACTCATATATCCAGCCTCACTTTGCTGACTTGCTTCACTTTCCCATGTTCCAAGGCTCAAAAGCAATCTCGTCGCCCATGAAGTAAGCAGCCACTCTGTCGACCAAACTGACGTAGGACAGCCCAATTCACGTTCTGCGTCTTTCCCATTACCCATTAAGAATTATCAGGGTAAACAAGCAGAGCTCCAAAGTGCATTCATTAATTTCATAAAAGCAGGCTTTTCAATTCATTGTGGGTCATAGAAATGCGAACTTCCAGGATTGCAATAATGTTATCAACTTAAGGTATCTGAGTTTGAAAATTGTTCTAACTTCCACGCAGCAAGAAGCAATAAATATGATTAGACAGGCATTATCCATAGAAACAGCTGTCTACACAATCTGCGAGCAGCATGCAGCATAAAAAAGATGGAATGAGAAGGATAAACCATCACTATCACTAAGTCCTGTGAAGCGGAGGCCATTTTTACTAAGCAACAAAAGACAACTTCCTTTTAGCACATGGTGACCCGAAGAAATGATGAATGCGACCATGTTTATCATTTCAAAAACAAGATTTTCAAGGATAAAAGCCAGCTACTCCAGTCTTCGGTGTAAAGAAAATCTTCAATAGTGCAATGCAAGATCATACTTTTATACATTCTACATTCTCCTTCAATATTGTTGGTTTTCTCTTTTGTTGGGGAGGGGGGGGTGGTTTCAAAATGAAAATTTGCCGGCCTCCCTATTCCATATTTGTGCACCTACAAAAAGATAAACTGATCAATATGTGGTTTAAAAATATATATTGGTAAACGTCAGAACCATCACATAAACATGCAGAGAGATGTCGTGCAACCACATTCCTCCGTTCAGAATGGTCGATCATAAATAACAATCTTCTGGAGCTCATCTAAAGCTTTTTCGGGACTTGAGGCTGAGCCAAAGAAGGTTGGATTTGAAAGAGGGAAGCTGGATCCCTTTAGTGCATTCACCTGTAAATCTTCCTTGATTCTATGTCAAAGGAGCAATGTCCCTACCAAACAATTTAGTAACCTCATATGAAGAGAAAAATGCCCGCGAAATTTTGATTTTGAGAGGATCAAACCCCACAAAATGAGAAAGTTTGAAAAGCAGTTCCCGACATTCACATAACCCCAAAAGATGTTTGAGGTGATCGACCACATATTTGTTCATTGAACTTTTCCCTAGAGGATTAGAGAAAATCTCTGAGCTACTTCTAATTATTGAGGCTCGAGGTCTTCATCCAGAGCTAAATGTATGTTCGATTCTACCTGCTATTTGGAAGATTCAAACAGAGAGAAATAGCAGAATTTTTTAGGATTGGAAACCTTTTTGGAGATCTGCGATTAAGCAAGGATTGAAGTTTGATATTTTTAGCAACTAATACATAGTTCCTGTAACTATTATTTCTTTCAAATATTTGTCAATTAGAGAGTTGTTTTGCAATCTCCTCGGCCTTTTGGGTTTTGCAATGGATTTCTAGTTCTACCTTCTCAAGCGTATTCACCATCTTCAATACAAATGTAAGGAGAAAAATCAAAACAAGATGATTACATAATATTTGAGGAGCATAAGTGAGATAACAAACACTTTTAACTGCATGGATATTCAAGAAAAGATCAATACATTGTTGTTTACATTAACCTGAACGATGAGAACTGGTAGGTAAACCTAAATAAATCGATAAACTCTATCAGTCTCTATCTTGTCACGTAAATTCATAACCAGGAGTTGGTTTTGAAAACTGAGGCAGTCCGTCCATCACACTGAGTTGTCTTCTCAGCTTGACAATATGAGCTTGCACCTACCAGATCAACTATACTGTTAATATCATAATCTAACATCAAAATCACGAGCCTATCAATAGATTGTGGCTCATGTAATCAGAAAAGAAAGCACAAGCTAATCATGATCAAATTGAAATTTACAACATCATGTTACTAGGATCAACAGGCACAAAGTCAACTAATATCGGAATGCATACTAACAAGTGATAATAACATTTATCAAAAATACCGCACATCATACTTTACAATAAATCAACCAGAACCTACGAAATGCCAATAATAAGCCAACTTCAACCTTCCACATTTTGACATATAAATGCATCGCGGCCAAAATTATGGAGGAACATCAAGAGCATGCAAACATATTGTAACCAACTCATTAATCATTGTGTTAAGATAATAACATATCAAAAGTATGTTTTCTTCATAAGCTGAAGTATTACAAGTAGAAAGAGAACGATTGAGTAGGAGAAAATATGATATTCCTACTTGTTGACGAGCAGCTGCAAGTTTTAACAGTTCGTCTGCCTCTGAGAAATTCAGGAACCATTGACTAAGGGGGTGATCCTTGGTATCGCCTCTCTCCCTTTCTGCCATATTCTCAATTGGTGCTGCAAATATCCAATTATAGTATTAACTTAGAAACTGCAACAGAAGGTTTGAAAGAAGCAATAACAGAAATTTACCTGGACTAGGCAGATTGAAACCAGCTGGAAGCCGAGGCACAACAACAGCTGGATGATTCTGAACACGAGCAAAAAAAATTTCCGATGGATCGGGAAACACAATTTCGTTGTAAGATTCCACAACAACAGGTTTCTTTGTTGTTTGTGGACCAGACTCGTCTTCAGGATACAACTTCAATTGGTGAAAACTATCACAATTTTAAAAGTGGTAAAGATATGCTTTTCCTTTTAGATAAGATCACTATCAACGCCACAAGAAAATAATAACAATAACTTACAGATCTAATTGCTTATCAGAGACGTCGCTATGGAAAAAGAGGGTGACGGCAATCTCAAATTCTCCCCAACCACATTCTGATAACTCAAAAGGCGGCGAATCAACCACTCTTGTTGGGTTATTAAAGCTAGGATGCAGCTGAAACACAACTCTCTTTATCACCACCCCCAGATCCTCATTAGTAGCACCACGCACATAGACTGTCCATTTATGCGACTGGGACCTAAAGGGGAAAAATACATCAGATAAATTTACTCGGCCAGATGCCTGAGGGGAAGGAGGCAAAATGAAACAGCCCCTGAAGGGTGGAGACTTACTCACTGGCCTTCCTACCAAGGTAAAATGCGATTGTTCCACAGACTATTGGGACACAAATTTCCATGTCTTTAAGCTTCCTGCTAGCACTCTTCAGCAGCATAAAATGCGTTGAGATAAAATGAGACTAGGGCAATGTGGTACAGTTTTTCAAAGATAAACAATTGAGAAAACTCATGCCCTGATAAAATTCAAGGACTCCATTATCAATATTATGCCTCCTTAAACTACGAGTACCAATATAAAAAATCAGTAAAACTAGAGATAAGGATGAGAAGTAACAGAAATAGCTACTTTTCAAGACAGCCATGAAATCAAGTACAAAACAGCGGAAGTATGAGAACCTTGGCATCGCCTCCTTCAGAGGATTTAGAGATTTTGATGCGCGGTGGCTTCGCAGCAGGTCCGCCTTCGTCTGCTGGCGTTTCACCTTGTTTTCTTGCGGACATTGAGCTCGACCTCCCTCTGCGGATCAGCCTTGACCTTCAGAATTCAGACTACGAGAATATGATCGCGAGGCAAATTACAGTTTCTTTTAGTTCAATTTCGTAATTTCGTGGGGAACTCAAACGCGCGCGAATCCAAACCGAAAGGGAGTTAGGGTTTAAGAAGGTTCTACTTCTCGGCGTCTTTTTTTTTCTCATTTTATATCCTCGGCAGCACATGTTGGAGTGGAGTAAACTTTTTTTTTTTAACAGTTTGGTTAGGGTTTGAATAGTTTTCAGTTTTTCCTTTGACCACATGTTCGAGTAGTTAAACATCAATATTTACCCAATGATTTTTTACGTCATAGATGTTGCTGTGACTTGAGATCTTAATTATCGTGTTCCAGGGATGAATGATTTGTTTTTAAGTACAATATTTAGGTATAGGGATCGAACTTACAACATCTTAGTTTAAGATATATGTCAATTACCGTTGAATTATGTTTACTTTAACCTATGTGACAAATCGTTATTAAACAAATGTACTTTTGAATTTTGAGTAGGGGTCGATTTAGTTCTCAATTTTCAACATGAACAATTTTTTTTATCTTTGAAGTATGTGTATTTTTAAATAGACGTTTTTAATCTCTAAAATTTGAAAATATGTTCCAAATGGTCCTTTAATAACCTTGGACCACTAGTTGACTTAACGAAAAAATAATTCAGTAAATTAATAGGTGACTTTATTTTTATAAATTGCTACTTTTAGATGAGTTATATATATATATATATATATGTGCGCGCGCGCGCGCGTGACATTTTTTTCTTTCTCCCCTCTTCTTCCATGTTCTCATCACTTTCTTGCCACCAGCCACCAACCGCCACCGGTGCTATTGCAGCCCGTCGTCGAAGTTAATTAGCGATACACAGTAATAATAATAGGTCATATAAATCAATCGTTATTAGAAAGATACATTAATTTATAGTTTAAACCAAATCGAACATATCTTAGTGGTAATTCACATATATCTCCAACTAAGAGATTATAAGTTCGATTCCTCACCCCTACCTGTTATACTAAAAAAATATTTTTATAGGTTAAAATATAATTTTGATCTGTGTACTTCCAAATTTGGTTCATATATATGTATATATATGTGTGTATTTTTTTTGAAGCAAAAAAATAAATTTTAATTAGGAATCTCAAAAGAATCACATCCCTAACAAAAATCTTCCATAATTTTGATTCAGGTTAATCTCCATACTTTCAACATATTCATTTTTTATAACTTTAATTTWAAAAAAAAAAGTGACAATTTTGGTACTTATTTCCAATATTATAACATAAATTCTATCCATAATGGAATTTTTTTCATACAAAGTCATAGTTATATTATACAAAATATATTGAGTATAGTGTCATATTCATAGAAAATATGAGATTAATAACAAAATAAAAGAACCAAAATAACCATTTTTTAGAACTACGAAATCAAAACAAATACTTTAAAAATATAGGAACTAAAATGATATAAAATTGTAAGCATACATACTAAAATAAATATTTAAAAGTAAAGTAATAAAAATGAACTTTTTAAAAATATGACAATTAAAATGAATCAAAACTAAAAATATATGAAATAAAATAGTAACCTAATAACTACAATAATTTACCGTAATCTACGATTGTAATATATATTTTCAGATATGATATTTATAATTACTAAAAATTTCAAAAAATTTACTCGTATGTAAACAGTCCAAAGCTATGGAAAAAAGGCCATGGAAGTTGAGCCCACGAAGAGCACCACAAAAATGGTGGTGAGCCCACAGAGAGGAGAGAAGAGAAGAGAAGAAAACGCCCCTGGTGTGGTGGAGGCGGATTTTTTCGCCTACTCCTTTCGTGTTCGAGCACACTGCTTCTTATTTGACCATCAGTTGAGCTTAGTATCAGGCAATGGATGGMGGGAAGGAGGGGATGGAAGCAAAAGCTTCGTTACAAGTAGCTATGGCCGAAGGAAAGGAAGGCGATTGGGAGTGCAGCGGCTGCAAGAACAGGAACTACGCTTTCCGATCGTTCTGTAACAGATGCAAACAGCCTCGCCTTCTCGTCGACAACAAAACCCCTCCGGACTCCAAATGGCTTCCTCGCATCGGCGACTGGATCTGCACGGGTTAGCTTTCTATGATAACCGACTCTGCAGTTCTTCCTTTGCCGTTTTTACAACCTGCAATTTATGTTGTATACTCGAATTTTGTTTTGTTGGATTTTCTCGCTGAACTTAAAATTCAGAGCTACGTCATATGAGTGTTTAAGATTTCGTAGTTCATTTCTGTTTCTGTCACGTGGTATGCAAATCTTGGTTAGAGGATTTCGGGGTTTCTCTTTTTAACATCTAACTGGAGGAAAATTATCGAGTTATTTTTTGAGCGATTAAGGTCTCGTGCTGTGAAATTTTAGTTTTCCAGCTCAATGAAATCAGCTGATGGTTCTTGAAATTTCCAATTGAGCTCCATTTAACTTCTTCAAGATCATATTGAGTTATCCTACAACGAAAATTTTGGAAAGTTTCACAAGAAAGGGGCTTACCACCATTGAAGTTTTCATTAGATACTAATCAAAATAGCTTTGGTTAAGTTGTTCTCCTTTTTTTTTTTTCTTTTTTTCAGTTAGAGTGGTGTGTTATTACATTGAAAGTATATGAAGGTAGCAGGGAGAATGTTTTGTTCATTGGTTAGACATTCACTGAACGTTAAATTGGAGGAACCTCCATTGCATCTTAATCACTAATTCAAGATTTTCTTTGAGGATTGTTTTGCTGCCTGCCCTGTTCACTAATGTTTATATTCCAGCAGACTCGTGTTTTTAGGAAAATGCTAAATTAGGTTGAGTCATGAGTCGTTTGTGTTTTTTGTATGTGTATTTGGTGTGGATGGACTGCTTGGTGTGCGTATACTTGGCTTGCTTTGCCTGGATGCTTGTGGGTTGGGTTTGTCTGGCTGTGGTGCAATAGGTTGCACTAACAACAATTATGCATCACGAGAGAAGTGCAAAAAGTGTGGACAACCAAAGGAGGTAGCGGCAATGCCAGCAATTGCAATCCCTGGAGCTTCTTTTCCAACTTATTCACACTATTTTGCCAGGACCCAAGGAGGGCTGAATACAAAGATGAATCTTGGATTAATAGGAAATGGAACTTCACAGCAACCGCATCCGTTGAGCTCCAACTGGCCCCTGGGAGGCGTTGATAAGTATGGAATTCATGCAGCTCAAACATTTCCTTTGGGTGGAAATAACTCTGCAATCTCATATATGAGCTCCACTAATCAGATCCTTTTAGTTCCGAAGGGTTGGCGAAATGGTGACTGGATATGTAACTGTGGCTTCCATAATTACTCTTCACGTGCGCAGGTGGGATTTCAACCTCCTTTCACACGCTGAGCTTGAAAGTCATTATTCGTCTTTTCCTATTGATGACTTCTTTGTATTTAATTTCCCATATTTGTTTCCATCTTATTTTTGTCTAACTAAACTTTTTCTTATTTGTAGTGCAAAAAATGCAATGCTTCACCTCAAGGTACATGCAACTCAGTCTCTCTAGGTTTTGATCCAACTAGTACTTTTTAATACTTTAAAAGACATAATGATATAGCTATTTTATAGATTATACATGTTATAATGAGATAGTTATGGACATCAAAACGAGCATAGGTTAGCAGTAATTGACATGTATCTCTAACCAAAAGGTTATGAGTTTGATCCCCCACCTCCACACGTTTGTACAAAAAAAAAGAGATAGTTATGGACGTATGGTGTCCTGTGCGCAAAAGTCTTTCTATTGTTTCAGTTATGTGTGTTTGTCTTTTTTGTTATCAGTTGACCGACTAGGTTCACATTTTTGAATTTGGAGTAGTAATGTTCGATAGAAGGAAATTTTAGTGGAGTAGAAAAGCTCAGTTTTATGGAAAATATTAGAACTACCTCCACAGTTTCTCTTTTGCATAGAGTAGGGATGGGGTGGCTGTTCTGGTATCTTTGGTGTATCAGCTGAGATAAAGAAGTAAATGGAGTTAAACTTGATTAGAATTCTTTTTCTACTTGAAGTTGAGCCACCGTCCTGGAAGATTAGACTCACCCTTTTTTTGTTTTGGACTGTGTAGCACTTGGAATGAAACGCTTAGCATCCGAAGAGCTTGTTCATCCCTGGGATAGCAAAAGATTAAATATAGGACAGGTATCCCCCTGGCAGAAATACAGATGATAAATAATTGATATTATTGAAAATTTTGTTGTTAAAATTTTGTGAAACTGATCACTGGCTTCTCCTCTTTATTTTCTTGGCATTCAGACAAACGAGCAACAGCAATCTTACCCAGGTTTTGAGCAGATTGTAAGTTCCAGTAGTGACCTAAATGTGGGATTGTATAATTCCTATTCCCACGAAAGTTCTGGCGTGGCCCCAAATTTGGAAATGGTGATGAACTTTCCCCAACAATCAACTGCGCCAACACTCCTAGGAAAAGGGTAATATATAGGTGCATTAGCTAGCTGCCATTTTATTCTTTCCTACCATCAAAATGATATGATAATTAACCCTAAATTCTTGGCCAAATTGCTTTGCTGGGAAGACTTGTGATGCCATGAATTATAGTTTATACTGTTTGTTATCGTGCACTTTTTTATTAGCAAGTTATGAAAAACTTATATGCTATTTATATGGCCCAGCTTCAGTAAACAGATTGTGCACGTGCATAGACAAATTGTTGGTTTTGTGGAGTACTTGTGTACTGAACTCCCACTGATGATTAATTGTAACTTGTATGGTACATATGTACAGCTATATCTGGTTTTGCATGGAAGAACCACCTGCATGTTAGTTGATTACGAACCCTTTTACTGATTGTGTTAAAACTTTCTTACGCTATGCAATCTACAGTGCAAAACAGTGGCGCAATGGAGATTGGATGTGCACAAATTGCAATAATCATAACTATGCCTCTCGCTTACAATGTAACAGGTTATCATCTAAAACTAGTTTCCCCTACATTTATGTTGGATGTGATATGTGCTGTATATTCTATGGTCGTTGATCTTATGACCTTTAGATCTCACAACTCGTCACTTCACAAGTTCTTATTGATGTTGTTGGAAAAATTTTCTGAATTCTTTTTTTTGGAAAAGAAACAGATTTCATTAATGTAATGAAATGGTAAAAGAAACAAAAGGGGAAGATCCCAAACCAAGGGAGTTACAAAAAGGCTCTCCAATTGGTTAAAAGAGAAACAAAGCTATAGTGTTTAAAGATAGGAGAACATTTACACCAAGATACAACCATAGACACTATAGCTTCAAAAATGATGCCAACGGACAATCCTTTCCTAAGAAGATCCGGCGATTCCTTTCTAACCATGTCGACCAGAGCAGCGCCCTAACAAAATGCTTCCGTAGGATTCTGCTTCACTGGTGAAAGGGTGCTCCAAAATTTTCTGAATTCTATGTTCTTGTGTTTGTTAGTTTAGTAGGTTTGTTGCATCTTAAATGACATTGCATTATTGAACCTCCAACATTGAAATGCTTTTGTTTCTGTAACAGGTGCAAGACTCAAAGGGATTCACTTTCTCTACCACTCAGTGCCATTTAGCATATTTATACAGATTTCGGATGGTTCTCATGCTGCTAGCTTCTTCCATTCCTACAAGGAATAATTTTTCATAACGCCTTTATTTTATGGTTATCTCCTGCTTTACTGGCTCGCTTATCCAATATATTGATTGATTATGAGTTTTCCTTTACTTAGGAAGAATGTTTGGCGTGAATGACATTAACATTTTTGTTGAACAGTTGAGATTATTTAATGTTGAACCCATTTAGAGGAAAAGTAATGTTCAGTTTTGCATCACAAACTCCTTGATAATAGAGAGGAAATAAGTGAAAATAACTGTGTTTTTAGATTTACTTAATCATTTGATTAAGTAGGTAGAATTGTATTGTGTAATCAAAATAGTAGAAATTTTGAAATAATATTTTTATATTTTAGTATTTTTCAGATTTTAAATTTGAAATTAAAAAATGTATAATTACATTTAAAAAAATAAAAATTTTGAGATGATATAAATTCATTTTATTTTTGTTCAAATTAAAACATTTAAAATATAATAAATTATATAATAGCTCCACGAGTGGCACATACTCTTTTCAGTTTGTTATACTAAAAAAAGAATTATATAACGTTGGTAGATGGTAATTATATAAATTTTAGAACATAATTTTTTTAGTGTTGTTAGACATTGCTTATACAAATTTTATAACATATATGTTAATAAGTTAAATTTATTTTTTTGAAACAAATAAATAAATTAATAATATTTAAAATTTAAACTAAATATTACCTTATTACAAATACGTTACTAAACATATCCAATTTTTCACATTAAGATTCAATTTGCAAATTTTGATTTGAGAAAATTTTGAATTACCCGACTTCTGTCAATTGTTCAACATAGTTTGAGAGAAAATAAGTAAACCCAATTCATAATCTCCCAGTTCTCCATATCACTTATATGAAAAAAAAATGAAAAAAAAAAAAGTCTCCAAAACAACATTTCATAATGATGGAACGATACTTGAGCAGCCGCAGTGGATCGAAGGAGTATAGAGAGAGAGAGGGGTGGTTCCGGTGATCACTAACCCTTGAAAATGGAAGTCGGCGATAATGGCGGAGTATCCAATTGGTAGAGGTTAAGCGACGGCCCAACAAAACGAAACACTATCCAACCACCAATCATCACAAAAATTGAAGCATAAGCAAATTTGTTGAGCCAAAACAACAAACCCTTCTCTCCCATATACAACTCCGTCGCCTTCTCCGCCACGCTCATATCCTCCCACTTCTTCGCCTTCTCGGAAGCGATCTCCACCGGCGCCTTCCTCGGCCGCCCATTCCCCGTCGCCGCTCCATCCTCGCTCTCCTGTTTCGATCGTCTTCTCGACCTCTTCCGGAACCGAACTTCCACCGTCTCCGGAGGCGTTACTGCCTGCGGAACCTGCGGAGGCGTACTGTCGCCGCCGTCGGGGCCGGCGGCATTGATCGGATTGATTTTGAGAGCCTGCTTACGGCGTAGGGAGAGAAAGGAGACCTGATTCTGAGATATACGTGAGAATTCATGTGGATTAATGGTTAAGAGCGGGGGTTTAGAAGCCAGAAGCTGGTGGAGAGTGGTGGTTTCCATCGCTTCTCACTAAGAACATCGGCTCCTGGAATTAGCTTTATCCGTTTGTTTTCGTTTCTCTGGCTGAGAATTAGTGTGCTCGATGATTTGGCCCAATTATACATATAGTACCAGACAATTTCCTTGGATTTGGACCTACCCAATTCGTCTTGGGCTCTCTTAATGGACCGGCCCAAATTTGGAGGAACCATAATAGGATAGATCCGAATACGAATACGATTCCGAATCCGAATCCAGCTTTCCGTACGTCTCTTCCAAGTTCCAAATATTGCAATTGCATTTGCCGCTGTCTACTAGAAAACAGAATTAATTTAGAAAACATTCCCAATTTCGGTCCCGATATCTTGCGGTCCACAAACACGTTTCCCATAATTTTGAGATTTCGAGCCCCATCGCTTCGCTCGAGTTCTCCGGCTTTGCAGTTTGCTCTGACCAATTTGTTTTGTTGTTCGCTGAACAAAACACAGCACCTTCACAACCCGCCGTCTCCGTCGCTCGCAGTTGATTGAGACCACCACTTGCCGATGACTCATCAGCATCTCCAACTCGAAGACTCTTTTCTTAGTAATTATAAGCCCTCCGAGCGCCGGATCGCGTCCGAATTTCTCACTACTTGGCTTCCCTTCCTCTCCAGAGATCTCTGCCCAGATTGCACCCAACTTCTCTCGGATCGAATCCGCGCCCTTGATCCAGGTATTTTTGTCTCTTCAGTAAGTTTCATCACGAGGTGTGTTAAAGAAAAGGGGCCATCTAATTTTAGATTTTTTTTAAATAATTGAGTGTAATCAAGGGAAATTTTAACGAGTCGGGGAAGCGATTTTTTTTGGGAGGGGTTTAGATTTTGAAATTTTTGCTATACTTTATGCATAGTTTTTTTAGCATGGAGCAGCGGGATAATTTTTTTAGTTCTACAAATGTGGGGCTGGTCGAACCTTCAACCATAGTGAAGATAAGGCACCCCTTATTCACTAAGCTATTCGTAGATTGGCGTTGGTGCATTAGGATAGAGCCCCCTTGATAAAGTTCCCCTTTCTCGGTTCTATTTTCTATTTCTTATTTCGTGTTTCTTCTTTCAGAAAAACAGGATTGCGATTGGTAATTATTGATTGTCTCTTGTTCTTTCTTTGTTTGTTGGCAAAAGAAACGAAATTGTGTCTTGTAACAATCTTTGGTTTCTTCTTCTCTCAATTATTAGCTTAAAAAAATTAAATTTTTACATAAAAATTAATTTTTAAAAGAAAATCTGACGAAATTGTTGTTGATAATGCTATAGCTGTCCATTCTGATGAGAAATCAAGTTCTACACCCCCCATAGTGAAAGACATGCATGGGAGTAATGGGAATCAGGATGATCCTTGTGATACAAATTCTCTTGGAAGTTGGAAAGATGAAGCGGAAACAAATTCGTTAGGGAGTTGGAAGGACAGCATAAATGAAGGGGCTGAAGCTGAGGGATTACCTGAAACTTCTTCAAGTGAACCACCCTCTAAGTTAAGTTCCACTAAGACCTCAGAGCCTCGAATGTCATGGGCTGACATGACTCAGGAAGATGAACTAGAAGTAGAGGAAGATGAGTGTGAATCAGAAAAAAGAGTAGTCAATGTTAATGCGTCCACAGGGAAGTTAACAATATCAAAGATTAAGCCAAAGCTGTCCAGGGAGCAGAGAGAGTACATCAGGTTCATGAATGTCGGGCGGAAGAAAGATTTTATTTGTCTGGAGAGGTTTAAAGGAAAATTAGTAAACATTCTTGAAGGACTTGAGCTTCATACTGGTATTTTTAGTGCTGCGGAACAGAAGAGAATAGTTGATCATGTTTATGCACTTCAGGAGATGGGGAAGAAGGGAGAGTTAAGAGGTAATTATTCCCGTCTGCATATTGCTTTCTTTTATCTTCTACTGAATGCCCCCCATTTTTCTATTTTTAATATTCTGAATTATTAGCTTACTTGACAGTTGACTTATTATGCTGCCATATGTTTATGATTCTTACAAGGGTAAGCTTAGTCTTTACTTCCTCAAGTCTCAGTAGTTAGTGCATTCAATGTGTAAATAAGGTTTAAGCCTCGAGGCTAAAAATTTGAACCTCACCTCAGGACACAAGCCTTATAGGCTTTTTAAAACGTTGTGCCTTGTGCCCTTGGATAATCTGGTTAATGACTCTACTATTGATGCTCATTTTCAATATGCCATGCTTTTGTAGTATCGATAAGCTGGTTCATGTATAAGATAGGGACTCATCCTATTCCTGATTAGTTTTTTGTTTAGTAAGTATGTCATCTACGATGTATTTGGGGTCATCCAATATTTTGTATAACTATTTCCAACAAACCTGTTCCTGCAGTATGTGATGATGTACCATGGGTCCTGATTAACTCTCCCGAAACTACCTACTCAATGATTGCTTACTCGATGCCTCACTACATTCCCTTCTGAACGTACATTCTCTCTCTTCTAAAACTGACATGATATTCCATTATTACCCTACATATGTATAAACTATAAAGGTGTGTAGTAGCCAGTAGGCTAGTATGTCTGGCTTTTAGATCTTTAAATCCATTCTGTAGATCCTGAGTTCACGCATCTTGGTTTTTATCCTTCTTAAGGGTGCTGGATAATTTTACTACTAATATAACAACTTTCTTGGGATACCATTCACAAACATAGGAGAAACAAAGAATTGTAAGGATAGCTAAACAGTAGCTGAGCTTCTATGTTTGTTAATTGGAATTTTAGAACAATTCTTCAACTAAGCCAATTTGAACCTGTAACCTTTTTTCTCTTCCTTTGTTGGTTGATTGGATATCAAATTCACAGACTTCATTGTTCATAGTGCATATTCCCTTGAAAATTTAATCTCTGTATGGAAGTGGAATCTCTTTTCAGATTTGATGAGAACAGAGGCTAATGTTTCTGCATCGTCCCCATTTTTGTTTTCAGATTCTTCGATTTTTTCCACTGCGCACAAACATGTCAATGACTTGAACACAATACCATACAACTCACCGTTTTAAATTTTTTTGCAGAACGAACATTTTCAGCTCCTAAAAAGTGGATGAAGGGAAAGGGACGTGTAACTCTTCAGTTTGGGTGCTGTTACAATTATGCACCTGTGAGTCTTTCAGCTGATTGCTAAGTTGGTTTGATTCTTTTGGATTGCATTTAATTTTTCATTTTTGATGTTCAACCAACTTTGATGCTCAGCTAGTATCACTAATTAGAGCATCATGTTTAATAAATGGCCAAATCCTTGCTAATAAAGTATTTTGACAGGACAAAAATGGTAATCCTCCTGGAGTTCTTCGAAATGAAATTGTGGATCCAATACCTAGTCTCTTTAAGGTGATCATCAGAAGGATGGTGAGATGGCACGTACTTCCTCCAACATGTGTTCCTGATAGTTGCATTGTAAACATCTATGAAGAAGGGGACTGTATTCCTCCCCATATTGACAACCACGATTTCGTTCGACCTTTCTGCACTGTGTCATTCCTCAGTGAATGCAATATTGTTTTTGGATCAAACCTTTCTATTGTAGGTCCTGGTGAATTTTCTGGGCCGATTGCAATCCCACTGCCTGTAGGGTAAGTATAGTATGCAGTTGACTATGTTCATCTATTTCTGGTTCGATACCCATTTCCATCTTTCCAGGTTGGCAATCGCATTAGATTTCAAACCTTACTATTATGCATTTTCTTGCAGGTCTGTTCTCGTGTTAAATGGAAATGGAGCTGATGTCGCTAAGCATTGTGTACCCGCAGTCCCTACAAAGAGGTATAATTCAGGAGGGTCAATCAAACATCTTTACTTGCTTAATGTTATCCTTATCCAACCTAACTTGCCTCTTTTCTTGTCTCTTTTAGGATATCAATTACATTTAGAAGAATAGATGATTCCAAGCGGCCATTTGAGTATGCTTCCGAACCGGATTTGCAGGGAATCCAACCATTGCCCTATGAAGTAAGTGAAAATGACGTACCAACTTCTCCTGTATCATCAGAAAGGGAAATAAGGAGGCAGCCATTTACGAGGGGTAGTCATATGAGAACCAGGGGATCTGGAAACCGAAGCGACACCCGTTTTGAGCCACGCAATTCAGGTAGGGCTCAACATAGGCCAGCAGATAATAGGAGGAGCAGAGTAAATCTAGACAGCTGAAGGTTAGCATTATTTAACAATCCTGATTCATCATTTTTTCCACATCAGACAGTTGAGTGTTTGTGATATATGAAAGAATCTACGAGGCGATTGGTTGCAAGTTCTGTATCATCTTGGCATATGAAATGTTATTTTGGTGTGCGTACCAAGAATTTTCCCGAGCATATATTAATACGTTTAGATGTTCCATATTTGTCATAGTCCCTCTTTAGAATGATGTAAACTTCGAGTCTGTGCACTCGGGAACTTCAGATGGATCCAGAGTACAACTGGGAGAACAGAATCGTCAAATAGGTCTAAGATTACATACATGGTGAATGAGAAATAAGAGCATAACAATGGTTTGTTCTACAGCATATGGGTCGAAGTTGGAGGTACGGAAGCTGTCTTGTAAAAGAGAGTATTTGATTACATGGTTTTATGATTTTGAATAACTTATATTTATTGTCATATAATGGTTAAGGCCAGGAGATATACTCGTGAGATTTTGTGTTCATAATAATTTGTTGATTGGCTTGGCTGCCCTCGTGACGAGCTGAGTAATATTGTTTATTGATGAAGACAAAAATATGAATATATTTTATGTTCTTTATGGTTGGTGAAATATGTAGAGAATTGTTTTATCTTATAAAAGTTGAACTTGATCCTATTTTATTCTTCTCCAACTGTGATTCCTACTGTGACTTCGAGTTGAATTAGAGTTTGCTAAAGCTATAGGCAGGAGTGGAGCCAGAAGTTTTCTTAGTGACAAAATTTTACATCCTAATTCTAAAAATTTAAAGAGCAAATTAGAGGAACACTACAAAATCTTAACTATTTACGACAAAGAGGGTAATTTTTCAGCTCCATCCCAGCCTATAGGGGAGAATATTTTGAGGTGATTTTAGCTTCTACAAACTGAACTAGGGATCATCATCACAGTGGATTTGGCCCCTTTAGATAAATTATATTGAAAACTTGAAAGCCACTTTCCTCAATTATAAAAACAAAAACTTTAGATGGGACCATAAAAATCAACATTGAAAGAAGCTACCTGAAAGTTTAAAGTGGGCCTGTATCTTCCCAAGCCACTGGACTCAAAAAATACAAGAAGATTGGAACTTGGAATACCATTATTATCTGGTTTCTCTCTCTCTCTCTCTCTCTCTCTCTCTCTCTCTCTGTGGGATAAAAGCTTTCATAGTCCTAAAAGATACGAAATATTGGACTTGAATTTGGTTTTCAAGGAACTGAAACTTCAGACTTTAATGCTGTCTGCGTTTCTGTGTGGGATCTTCAATAAAACTGCATAGAAGAAATTAAAGGAAAGAAAAGGGAAAGGGTCCACCCTAGAGGAGGGGGGAGGACTGTGTGGAAGTTAACATTTTAAGGCAAAAGAAAGTAACAAGAGAGATGAAACTTGAGAGGCAAACAACATACGTAATTAGAGGGAGAGTCAGTAGTGTAAGTACCCAATATTCCAACTACATCTGATTCTGCCCTTTATTTCTCTTGTGTGTTTTGGTTGCTTTCTACAAGTAGTTTGTAATTATGAAATTCAATTTTTCGAGTCCTTGTCCAGAAACTCAGCCCAATAAAAACAGATAAAAGGGAATAGAATGGGCCAAAAACTTGTGGCTAGGGTTTGCTTTATGTGGTTACAAGTCCCTATCTTAGGAGAGAAGGGTTAGTAATCATAATAGAAACTAAAAAGAAGAAGAAGAGAGAGAGAAATAGGCGTCTAGAGAGAGAGATATGGAATGATATTGTGATGTATGTTGAGTGATATGGGTGAGAAAATTAGGGAAAGAGAGAGAGATGATTACCCGGAAGAAAAGGGAGTGTACCAAAAGCTAGGGCTGTACACAACAAAGGGACTCCCCCATGAGGTAAGCTGCTCAGGATTTTCTCTCTCTCTCTCTCTCTCTTTTTCTTTTGGGGTCTAGAGAGAGATAGAGGGACAGAAAAGTTGCAGTGCTTTCACTGACAAATCCAAGTCTAAAAAGTTGATAAACTTTGAAAAACAAGACTGCCCATTTGGCCAATAAAACAAAGCACACCCATTATTTGATCTCATAAGCCCTTTTCTCTCTCTCTTTCTTTCTTAAATTTGATCTGTTTAATTTGTTTTAGAGGGAAGCTGTAAACCCCATGGAAATGCATGACAAGGAAAGGCATATATCTCATGATGGTAGTGTCAAAATCAAACAAATATTGTGTAATCTGTAAAGGGTGTAGTTGGAATTGGAGAAGGGAATGAGACAGTTAACAGGATGAATTCTAGGAGAAGCTCAATAGGATTCACATTTACCCATAACCCACCAACAACAATCTTCAATGTAGGGGAAAAAAGAGAGACAATGAATACAAAGATTTTAATATACATAAAAACCATGCAAACAACTTTATTAGATCCAATCGACGCATTCGTTTTACTTCAACAACATGGGGGGTGAGGATCGATGAATAGTGTATCATGTGTGTTCTTCATAAAAAAAATATAGTAGAATAATAGAGAAATAAATAAATTTGAATATTTCCCATTGTCTCAAAGCAAAGCATATCTCTTTTCCATATTAATATAACACAAGGAGAAAATTGAATTACCTTAGGGTATGCTTACAAAATAGGATATTTCTTTTTTCTTTTCTTTTTTTTTTTTTTACTTCAACAACATATAGGGTAGGAATTTAAACCTCAACCTTTTTAGTCAATAATATATGTCTTAAGTAGTTGGATTGTATGAGTAATTTTTTTATATGTAAAAAGACAAAAGAACCATCATGAAATGATTAAAGTGGTCAATGAAGACCAATGTAAATAGCCAATGACTTAGAGGGAATGAGTTAATATCCTACAAGTTTCTATCCTACGTAAAGCTTACCAACAACCGAACATGGGATAGGGAATGAGATGTATATTAATGTTTTTAAGTAGATTATTATTGGTAAAAAATTAAAAAAAAATGACGATGTAAATATTTTAATAACAATAGTCAAATTCGATCTTTTGCACTGGATGGATTACACTAGGAATAAGTCAAGTAAAATAATGTTATTCTTCACTTCTATATTAAATCAAAACGTTGTCAGACATATTTCAATGTTACATATTATTATAAATTTTAATATTTACCAAAAACCTGCATTAAGATGAAAATTTATAAAAATGATAAAAATTAATTAAATGTGGTAAGGAAAATTAAGAATCAAGTAAAAAAAAGTACAATGACTATCTCTCCTAAAATAAATTTAATATGGACAGAATTAATCGAAATCCGTAATTTGAACTCGTAATTAAAATAAAAATAAAAATAATTATGGGCATGCAGGGAAAACTAAAACCCAATTTAGGGTAGATGTGGGCCCCCCAGAGGGAGTGTGTAAGAAAGATCACAAAAACATCTTCTTGGGAGTTGGGACACAAACCCTAATTCCACAGTTAAATCATTGGGTTGGAGTTGATAGGTTGGGGAATATATGTATAATTGAGGAGAGAGAATTAGAGATTAGAGATTTGGATATAATTAAATTAATAAAAAAAGAGAAGAAATTATATTGGGTGTGTTTTAGTTGTTGTGCAGAGAGAAATGAAATGAGAGAGGGGATTGAATAATGTGATTGGACGTTTGTGAGTTAACATTTAAGAATAATTATTATGGGTTGGGAATTAGAAAAATGTGCTTTTTTGAATGAAAACAAATGGAAGAGGTGACTAAACAAAACAAAACAATAAATAAATAAAAATAAAAA